GTAGTTTGATGAGGGGGAGGGAAAGAGGGGGGAAACAATCAACGGTCTGGAAATAAACCGGAAGAGCAGCAAGCGATGATTGATGATGACAATCATGACGCCGGAGCGAGAGAAGGAGCTGGCGGGAGGCGGTCACTCACGGTCTTTCCTTCCCCAGCCACTCAGCCACACAAAACCCCTCGCTAGTTTGGTTTTGTTTTGTTTGCGAAGGTACTACTCAGCCACTCTTTTTCACATAGTGAAAGAGTAGTATACTATATCTGTCTCTCCATCTATCTATCTACTTAACTTTCAATGTGATGGTCATAATTGGAGGCTAAATTAATGCTCCGAAAATATCACTATTCGCTCGAAATGCTCCCCAGAATATTGTAGGCAGCCAGTTCCATGAAATAGGGTGTATTGAAAGTAAAGTACTAGTTTTGTACCTTGAATCAGGCAATTGCTGTTGCTACTATTGCCATTCGGGAAGTTATCGATGGAAATATATCTTCGTTCAATGCCGACCACCAGTCCTAAATCAAGAATTGACCACAGCAATACTGCTTAGTACTACTAGTATTTATTTGTTACCATCCACTTACATATTCAATACTATGACTCTAAAATACGGAGAAGTATTATCAGATTACTATTACTACCTATTACTTAGTACGCGACTGGCAGTCTTCCTTTTCCTACCCGCTCCACAAAGCGATGATGCGCCCAGTTAAACTCTTCTCGTTCTGCGCCGCTTTCTCTTCTTCCCTGATATGATGAAACCATATACAATAATTTTGTAACCTATACGGAGTTGCAGTGCTTGGTACTTTGGATGCCGTGCCACCCGTGGCAAGGGGTATGGCCCTATCGACCTGTCGTATAGATGTATCACATGGAGTGGTTGATGCGGTGGAGAGAACTACTTTTACACAACACGAAGCCATCAGGATTCCACAATTTAGTAGCTGCCGCCTTTGGGGGAAAATTCTCACCCCATTGTACTGCAGAGATCAATTAAGTCTCCATATAATTCCATCTCTACTGCACTGATTGTTTGCTCTTCCAGCCAGAATCATTAGATGATGGTTCTAATCTCTTTTACCTCCCCTCCCAAACCATTGTTTAGGGGGAGCCGCTGCCTCCCCGCTTCTCATCCTTCACAAGTAACTATAGCGGCCCCTCCCGGGAACGGAGTGATAGATCACAGCTCTGCTTTGCAGGACTTGGGCGCTCCCCAAGTCCCATCCAGGAATCCAAACAGACGATCTCCCAATTAAGGCTTTCCCGGAACTCTGGAGATCCTCCCGGCCGCTGCGTACAGCAAAGCCAGCCTGATCTGACAAATTCTCTTCTAGACCTGTTCCATATGATGAGGATACCTCTGAGGTATGCCGTGCAGCGTTGGCGAATTAATTCGTCACTCCTCTTTGGTGGTGAACTTGAAGTTCAAGCTCAGAGTTTTTGTCTTTGCATCGTACTGGGGGATAATCATACGAAGATTAAGCATGTAGGTTCATGAAGGCTGCGTGGGTGACAGTTCCTGAGGTTAAAGGCATGTCATCCCTGGCCGTTGGAAGTCATCGCCAAACCATGAGGCTTCCCTTTGACGTATATAAGTACGAGTCAGCTTGACAGTGATCATGAAACCCTTTGTTAATATGTTTTCTTTTTCCGTTTTCCTTCCCTGGTGCCCCTACCTACTCGACACGACCACCCCCTTCCCTTTCGTGGCAATCGAGAGGGGCCCAGTTCCCCCAATAGCTGGCAAGACTAGGGCATCGAGGGAATGGTCGAGAAAGGCACCTCGATCACCGAGCCTACCGATCCGCACTAAGATTGGTATGATTCCCATCTGCTTCTCTGGCAGCCCCTGCTAGTCTAGTGAGATCGAGACCCTGGAGGCGTAGATTGCTCGGCTCCAGGTCCATTCGCCATTGCCATTCGACCGCTGCTCGAAGTAGTCAACGCCCCCCCTGTCATGATAATCCTGGTAAATGCATACGCGCTTTTTCTTCGAACAATCCATGCGTCCTTATTCAATTATCCTCGGGGAACCCATTCCCCCCGTCTTTCCCTCTTTAGCTTAATTGATTGACTCTCGTTCTTTCCGGGTTGTTGGGTATTTACTCCGGCTCGACCCTCGTCCACCATTGTCCCTCGTTTGATCATTGCTAACTCGTCACGCCCACGATTTTGTCCGCCCGATCTTTTCCATCGAGACATTATCACACTGTCCTTCCATGCTATCATATTGCCTCTGTACTTCCCAAGGCTTTCCCTCAAGTCCAGAACGCTCTCGACGTCACGGTCAGTCCAAACTACGACGGCCGGCTTGGCTTGGTACCAACTGCCTCAATCGCTTCGGCTGAGCTGTGCTGCTAGACTCGACATCTTTGAGCCCCTTGATTTGAATATCTGAGAGGACCCTTGGAAATATTCTGGCATCTGCACCTGTCCCTTAAGGGCGATCGTTGGACACTGTCTTTACCACGAAGTCCGCAGCATCCATCTTCCTTCGTATAGTCCTGACCCCCCCCTTTTTCATGTCTCTTAGTATGCCCAGGGCCTCACCAGCCCGGATCCTGGGTGGCACTACTTTATTATCGACGTTCATTACTACTATCCTCGATGGCATGTGCTTCACCTTCTCCAGATCCCTCTCATCTCGTGTGTCTTCGGTGGAATCGGCCATTGTCAGCTTGGGCGCAGTCAGCTGTCTTGCGCTTGTATCTCTGATGCTCCTCTGGATCAAAGATATAAAAACTGAGCCTACAGAGCAGTGCAGAAACCACCGAGCCATTGCATATGGGCTTATTGCTGCATATTTATCCGTGGCCACTGGCGTGACGGCAGGAGGGATAGCATGGAGTGCAGCTCAGTCCGTGTCAGCTAAGAAGTCGGTCACAAGGCATCAGTCCTTGCTAGTGGCTCGCTGCACCATATGGGCCATTTCGGTCCTCAGCCAAGGCATACTAGGAGGCTATTTCCTGACAACCTTGGCGAGACGGGAATCCACTAGCAAATGGTCGCCGCCATCCGTATCCCAAGAGCTTGAGGTGCTTTCTGATAAAGCCAGCGTGAAAGACGCAAGCACCGTGCAATCATCCTCTCTGGCCAGCGAGTCTCAGCGACCATCCGCTGATTTGAAGACTAATTCCGACACTGTCCCTCCGATCCAACCGTCTGTTTCAAATACAGAGTCCCAGGCCTCAAATCGCTATTCTGGACGCACACTATTCCAGCATGACTCCAAGCAAAGCTCCTTCGACCTGCAGCGATCATACGTACCTCATGGAGACAGCACAGCCACACCGGCCACAGTAGAGGAGCACCCCGTTGACCAAGCCGGCAGTGCAGCAGCTGGGATCAAGCTTCGCCCCGAACCGCCCAAAATTCGACGAAGCTATTCCGATACAAAGCGATCCTTGGATGGCTTGGTTCGCCAACCCTCGTCAGCACGGTCATCACCCGCGACTTCATCAACACAGCTGGTGACTCCCGCCAGACCTGCCCCTCCTAAGCTGAAACTCCCCGATGAGAGCTTCATTCATCCGTTATTTCGCTCTGACAGCTCATCGCCGCCCCCGACCCCAATGCCAGGTACCACGGTGATTGCCTCACCAGCAGCCGGTCAGACCATTTCCGTGCAGGCCTTGAACCGGGTCAGATCCACTCGTTCGCTGCGATCCCAAGCACCACGCAGCAGATCGCCGCTGTTCGATCAACCACTGAACGGGATGGAACGGAATACCGAGTCACCGGAACCCAGCGGTCGAGGATCTCCCATGCCTAGCTTCATCATGGCGGCAGATGTGCGGAGCAGTATATCACGGTATGAAAAAAAGTATGACTTGAACGAATCACCGGATGAGAGCTAGCTGGGCCGAAAAGGGGGCGCGACCGCATTGCAGGTTTGGGCTTACATGTCTTTCCTTTGTTTGTTCTTCTTTTCCTATGTTGATAGATATCCTGGACATAGCGTTTGATGTAGTTAGCAAGTACTTTCCTAGATAAGTATAGATCATATAATGCATCATGGCTCTCTACTGAATGGCGGGTATGCCGACAGCCAGTAAGTTACATTATATGTGGCTTGTCAGTGCTAGTTTTCTACTGGGGGGTGAAGTTGAAACTTTTGAGGTATCGAAATACATTATAGAAGCGAATCATGATCGAATTCTAAGTAGAAGCCACTATTCTTGACCATGAAGAAGATCAAGGTAATATGTCTATATAATCAAACACAACATCCAATGACAGCATAAGAATCAACACGATCAAATTATACCTCAAAATAACCACCAGAAAAAGCCAAGCAAAACCATAAATGCCTGCGTCATCCCTACCCACGGGAGCCGATTCTCTTCCTCAAAAAAACCTGATCCGTCATACGGTGAACTTGGATCAAGTGCGGCCTTTTTCTTTTTATTTCGTGCATATCCATGCAGATGTACACCTGTCATGGACCAGACTCTTACGAGGCGCACATTCGTCATGAATTGGCGGATTTCTGGTTTGTGATGTTTTATCTTTTCTTTTCTTTCCTGAAGTTTGTTTTGTGTTACGAGGTAAATCAGAAATTGAGTGACTGTCTGATACTCTTGTTTTTCCTTGCCCTGTGAAAAGGACTTTTTGACTGAGAACGTAAGCGGGTATTGAATCATCTCAACACCATTCTTACACCAGTATTGTGAAAGGAGTAGAGGTGAGCTAATTGGGGAAATATTAGGCCTAAGGGTTGAAGTGACGAAGTCAAGGGGAAGAAGAGCTTGATGATGGTGATTGATCTGTGTCTATTTTTGACAATATATGGAAGGGAAGGTGGGATATTGACAGGGAATAAAATTGGCTCTAGGAGTGAGAAAATTGAAGAACTTGTACTACTGTCTCGCATCATGAAGAGAAAGAGAGTTTCAAAAGTTTTACTTACTTAACTTACTCCGTAATCGGAAATGTGGAAATGGAGATTCGAGGTTAGTTATAAAGTACGAGGAAGCAGGAAGGTACCCACTTTCGGAAAACCCATCCATCCATCATCTACTAGATTTACTAGATAGATAGAAAGATACTACTTACAAGACTACCTAGATAATAAATAGTAAGTCGTACATAAGGTACCACGGACTAAGTTTATACGCAAGGATCTTAACACGTGTGTATCTTGATGAACCACCATTTTTTCTTTCTTTCGAGCATTGTCACTCAAAGGAGCATTGGCAGTCTTCATCGAATTGTTGCACGGTTTCAGCGCGATTTGTCGAGAAGGAGGGAGTAAGTAGTCGTAAGTAGTCCCGGTGTCCGACAATGATAATTCCCTTAGCGATGATTTTAGTGCCTGGATCTTACTTGGTTTTAGTTGGTCAGAATTGGCTGGGATGGAATTATACGGCCACACGGCCCTGCTCGACTTTACGACGTATTTCCGACTCATTCCATCCAGACAGTCGCTCGGCTTTTCCACGTTCATCTCCTCCTTTTTTTCTTCTTATTTTAAGATATAAATGAACTTCTGTGTAATTGTTTTGTCGTGCTGGGTTAGAGATGCCATCTGACTATTATTCGATGATTTAATAATTATATCTCTCCTTTCTATCTTCGAATTTCTACTCGGATATTGGGAACGTGGGCCGGGGTGGTCGGTCCCTGGCTCCTGCTTTTGCGCCACTCCAAGCGGCCGGGACAGCCAAACGGCCCAGTCAAATTCCTCGCCGTCGGTCTTTTTAGTTCAGCTAACACTAACACTGGCTTGAACTGAACTGACTGACTGACTGAACGGACTGGACTTGATCTTCTCAGCCAAATTCATCGCCCATCAGCTTCAAGATTCTCCATAATCTTGTCTTGTCTTGTTGTGGTGGTGGTGGTGTCTTCTTCCTCAATTTTTCATCTTTACCTGGGCCTTCCCCTTCCTTCCCACGGACTTCTCAACCATCGAAGGTACGGCAATAGTTAGTTTAAACACTCCCTTTTGCGTGTCATTTGGGGTGGTGTTATTTTTTTTTCCCCTTCTCCTTCTATTGTCTTTCCCTCCCTTTCCGTTTCCTGGGTTTTTCTTTTCCTTTCGCTGCTCTACAAAACATCACACCGGACTTTCTCTGCCCGCGCATGAAGATCAACTTTTGGGATCAATTGCTGGGGAATCGATCGTTCTGGTAGACCGTAGTTATTGCTACTGCTGCTGCTACTACTACGACGACGACAACGACGACAAGCTGGAGCTGCTGTTTCTGCTTGCTGTTGCTACCTCACTAAACCAAACCAACCAACCAACCAACCTTTTATCTACTACTTTCTACTTTTTACTACTTCTACATCCGGCGAAGTTCGTCCTTGTACTGGCTTCTCCTCTCTTCTGTTCTCTCTTCTCTCTTTTCCTTTCTCACTCCCTCTTGACAGTCTCGCTCTGCCAGGCCCGCCAACCAACCAACCAAACAGCGGGTAGCTTTTCTTGCTTCGCTCACTTGATCCACTTGGCCGAACCTCTTTTTACTTCATTCCCTCTCCAATCTCCATTCTACTACTACTTACTACTATCTCGACTTACTACCCTCGCGTTTCCGCCTGGGGATTCACTCAATCAACCTACTACTTCTACCTACCTTCACGTTGCTGTTCCACGCTCCGAGGAGGAATTTTTCCTAATTCCCTCCCCTCCAGGTATGTTCTCATCCTTTTCCCTCCCCATCTCCCCCATTTCTTGCCCGATTGTTCCCCCGTTTTACTTCTCTATTTCTGCTCTCCTTCCCGCAACCACGCGACCCCCAGCTTTTTCCTTGGGGAGCGATCCTCCCGGCACGTTTCCATCGTCACATACCTCTCGTCTCATCTCGGCCTTTTGCCTGGCTGCCATCCTCCGCCCTTTTCTTCCCTGTACTTCCTGATGCGTCCTTCACCCCCAGCATATCCCCATCCTTAACTTTATTCCAACCAATGTACCATACACCTGGCTCTTTCACCGTTTTCCCCATTCCCTTTCTCAACCTCACGTACCCATGTCGCTTAGCATGGCCTTTCACCGTTCAACATAGTTAATGCCTGCATCCCTTCCCTGATCTTCTTGCAGTTCCTACTTGATCTTAATGGGGCCTGCTTGACATACGTCTTTTCCTTGTTTTGATTTCTTTTCTCTCCTGCTTTCTCATCTACTTCGCGTGACCCACTTCACTGCTTGCCCTTTTGGTGTTGCTTGCCTGAAGATCTTGCATTTTTGCCTCATCTTATCATTGTGTTCTCCATCAACGACTGCATCTCAACAGCCTTGTTGTCTATTCCTGTCTTCCCCTAAAACGTTGATTCTCAGAAGTGGATCCTCATATCGACTGTGTTATTCGTCTTGTTTCTTTCCATTGCCCCTCCACCCCATTTGCTCGACTCGTTCACGCATCCTTAACTCTAACCGAATTCTCAACTAGATAGTGGACAGCAATGGCGGGGGTCAAGCGTAAACTTGAAGCTACCCAAGCCTCAGCTACGTCCTCTGGTGGTCACGCTGGCGCAGGGGCTTCCCAGAACAGTACTAGTAAGTTTTTTTCCCCCTTCCAGCTGTCGCAGCAGATTCTTATGGCTCCCCAGACTCCACAAATGATGATTTCTCATCTGTTCGTGTGACTCGGAGTTTACGTTCGAGTCGAGATGCACGTGCCTCTCAACATGATGTTAGAGCCCCCAGCAACACTGCTGCTACGGCTGGGAACAGCAACAATCATCTAAGAAACAACACCAATCGCCCATCACGTATTATCACGCTCAGCACTCGTGCTGCTCGAGCCAATACTGCCGCGGAGAATGCAGCTCGCGAAGCGGCGCTCCGTGAGACTGCAGCGCGTGAAAATGTAGCCCGTGAAAACACCGCTCGCGAAACCCGTAATACTCGGACTCGCGCAAGCGCCCAGTTGGCCACTGCCCAACCTGAAACGCCAGTAACAGCCGTTCCAGAAACCCCTCGGCACAAGCGCGTCAAGCGGGGGCCGACGGTTGAAGAGACACCTCGGACTACGAGGCAGTCGGCGAGACTCAGGGCCCATGTGCATCCAACATCAGCTGAAGATGGTTCTAACGATCAGGGCATCGTCCCGAAATTCTCAGAGCCGAGCCCTTCTACCACTGCTGCCCCGAGTACCAGAACGAGAAATAGAAGCCGGCAATTTGCTGACAATATCATTGACACTACTCACAATGCTACTTCTACTGCTCCTGCGGTCAAGTCTCCTTCACCAGACAGGACCACTCCTGTCCCGGCTGAGCAACCCAGGCCACCGCAAGATGAGCCTCAGAGCATCGTGCCAGACCTTCATTCTTTTACGAAGGAAGAGTCACCAAAGGGCACCGTTGTTGATGAAGACAAGAGTGGTGTCACTGAACCGGCAGCCCTTGAGACTGCTGATCGTCAGAATTCAACGACCACCCCAAGTCCAGAGGCATCCGAGAAGCCTAAGTCGTCATCTCAACCAGAAGATACTGGTGCGGTTGAGAGCGAGAGTGTCTCGGAATCCCCTAGTAAGAAGCCTAAAGTGGAAGAGGGCGAGTTGGAGCACACATTAGATCAGCAATTGCAGAATGGCACCGGTGGTAATCCGACATCACGGTCCCCCGCTGAGGCCGTGGCCGACTCGAGAATTGACTACGACTCTCGCCAGGTGACTGAAGAGATTGAAGGATCAACGCCAGAGGTAGCCACGGAGTCGACGGCTGGTAAACCAACCCGTGGTGGACGGACTCGAGGCCGCGGTCGTGGTGGACGGAGTCGCGGCTCAGCGCGTTTCGCAGTGAACAAACGAGGACGAGGCGCCGCACGCAGTGGTCGTGGTGGTCGCACCGGTCGACAACTGGATCGCTCGAGCGATGTGGAGCCTGACCGCTCTCCTTCCCCAAGTGCAGCTACCCAGAAGCTGCGGGACAGGCAACGGGAGTTGGATAAGGCCTTCAAGAAAGTGGCTGCTGCTCAGCGGCTGGCGCTGGCAGTGCTAGCCACGCAGTCTGAGAAGCGACTGGCCCGCGATAAGAACGCGCATAAGAACGTGCCAGAGTTTGAAGAAGTCAATATGCAGTTGAAGGAGAGACTAAATGGGCGGAAGGAGGTTTTACGCCGGGAATACGAACTCAAGGTGGCGCAGGAGCACCGGCTATTCGAGGCCAACAAGCAAGCTATTGAGGAGCGATATCGGGTGAGTGATGACGCTTATTTTTTTCATTAGACGAGCTCCTGACAACCAACGAACAACAGGCCCAAGCCCGCAATATTCGCGAAGAGCACCTGCTGGCCAGTCAGGGGGCGTATATGACTTTTGTCGAAGGCCGCCGTGCCGCGGAAGATGATGAGCATACTGAGGTATGTATAGAATCCGGTGCTCGGAACCAGGAATGGCTACTAACGTTACACTGCAGACTGATGATTCCGAAATTGAGCCGGAGCGCGGACGAGTGGTACCACCCGCCAGGGAAGTGTTCAGAGGCTTCAGCTCCAACTATGTTCGGAATCCTTCTGGGGCAGCCCTTTACGATCGTGCTTACTTTGGCTGGGACGACTTCGTTCAGCGGGCCAAGGTGGGCGACGACATTGATCCGCAGATGAAGGAAATCCGGGACGCAGGCCCCTTTGCCGGCATGACCGCTGAACAGATTCTCGACATGTTGGTGAAAGCGACCGGGGTTGTTGAAGTTCCTCGCAACACAGTGCCGGCAGAGATCAGTCCTCCGGTGGTGCTGCCTGACTTGCGTCCCCGAGCATTGTCAGCCCTGGCAGATATTGCTGCGGCGGAGCCTCCGCGCCCTCCCCTGTCACAAGCTGCTCCACGCCTCTCGACTCATCGAGCCCTCCTGCCCCAGCCTGCACAGCCGCCATTGGCCCACGGCCCTGCCGAAACTCGACCATTTGTGCTGCCTCCACCCACCCCCCAGAGACAACAGCCCCGTCGTCTTCTTCCAGCGGGGCAACAGATTCCCCCGATCAACGAACAGCTCGGCTTGCCTGATCCTTTTGCCTCCATGGGAGGGCCTCCTCACCTTCCTCCTCCGCCGGGGTCCAACTTTCATCGACCTCCCCTACCCGGTTTTATGACGGGACACCACCCCCCAAGTCTTTATTATCCGCCGCCGCCTCCACCACCTCCCCCAGGGCCTCGTCCCCCCTTTTAGCGGGGAAGGGGATGAGTGTGCGCGCAGGCTTATCTTGATTTGTCTTTTCGCGCTAGGATTCTCCCCCGGAGTTTTGAAGTAGACTTCTTCGTTGGGATATGTAAGGCCTTTTCTCTTTTCGATTACCTAGCGACTGGTTATGTATTTAGCTACGGAGGATTCCCCTTAGGCGTTGAGTGGTTAGGATCTTCTCTTCAATAAACATGATTTCTAATTTTTCATATTATTGAGTTCGTCCTTCTTGATCTCACGTCTCTTCTCACCCGGAGTGGGGAACCGTACTATGCGGCGGTGTAACTATGTAAAGGGGGCTGGGTCTAGTAGTTACTGGGGAATCTAGACCCACCGGAGGATGAATCATAATGGCTCATGTCTTGCTGGCGATGAGTCGACGGGGGGAAATGATGACTGATGCTGATTGCTGACTCATGACTGGTTCTGCCCGGTCGCCGCCTTCCACCCCGATTGGGACTAGTGCCATAGGCGGGGCTATCGCTCGAAGCTTTTTATTTCCTCGGGCTTTTCCTCCATCACTGCGGTTCACGACCCTGCTGTGCTCTTTAATTTGCCTGCATCTTCTGCCTGATCGAGTCCCGTCTCTCGTCAATTGCGAGTCGCAAAGTCCTGTTTTAGCACTTTGTGTTCCTTTCTCGCCGTTTTCCCCGCCACGAACCTCTTCCCGACAGGCTCTGCCTCGCCCTCACCCCGCCTTCACCACTTCGAATCTCTCTCTCTCCTCCCAGCGATCTCTTTCCCTTTCACGGGCACTCGATCAACTTCCTCGCTCTCTCGAAGCGCAAGACCTAGATTTCTCCAAACTTCACTATTTCCATCACTAGTCCTCCGACTCCGACAGAAGGAATTATGGCCGTCCGCGCGCAGTTCGAGAACTCCAACGAGTGAGACGCACCCCGGAGAATTTTCTGTTGGCTTGCTTGACCATGCAGCCCAGACCTCACAGCTTCTGGACCCTTTACTAATGCATATTCGCTTTCTAGGGTCGGTGTTTTCTCCCGTCTCACCAACTCCTACGCTATTGTTGCCATTGGCGCTTCCGAGAACTTCTACAGGTGCATATATATATACCCGTTCCTACCAGAATCACAACCCAGTCCCATTAACGCTCCATTTAGTGTATTCGAGGCCGAATTGCAAGATGTCATTCCCATCTGTCACGCCACCATCGCCGGAACCCGCATTGTTGGCCGTCTGACGGCAGGGTATGTCTAGGCCCGGACTCAAATTTGTTGATCTCCGTATCAAAATCCACTGACCATCTTTCGCCCAATATCAGAAACCGCAACGGTCTCCTCGTCCCCACCACCACGACAGACCAAGAGCTTCAACATCTCCGGAATACGCTACCCGATTCGGTGAAGATTCAACGTATAGAGGAACGTCTTTCGGCTCTGGGGAACGTCATCTGCTGTAATGACCATGTCGCGCTGATCCACCCGGATCTTGAGCGGGAAACCGAAGAAATGTATGCCCGTGATACCCCCTTACACACACATACATGCAATTTTTTTTTTTTTTTTTTTTTTTTTTTTTTTTTTTGCACACTTCATGCTAACATGTACAAAAACCAACAGCATCGCCGATGTCCTCGGCGTCGAAGTCTTCCGTCAAACCGTCGCCGACAACGTCCTGACTGGCTCCTACATGGCCCTCTCCAACCAAGGTGGTATCGTCCACCCCAAGACCTCCATCCGTGACCAGGATGAACTTTCCTCCCTCCTGCAAGTGCCCCTCGTCGCTGGTAGTGTCAACCGCGGTAGCCCCGTCGTCGGTGCCGGTATGGTCGTGAACGACTGGCTCGCTGTCACGGGTCTGGACACGACAGCCACGGAATTGAGTGTGATTGAAAGTGTCTTCCGTCTGGGTGAGATGGGTCCCCGTGGTGTTGGCATGGGTAACGCCAACAAGGAGAGTATCGTGGAGAGTTTCTACTAGATTTAACGCCTTTTCCTTTCTTTTTTCCTCTCTTAACGTTTTCCTTTTTTTTTTTCTTTGCCTCTTTCGAACATACATGAATATCCTTATTGTGCTATGAATGAATGGAATGGGTAGAATATCCGGGGGTGTATATGTGTGCGTGTGTGTGGACTGACTGGACACTATTCTTCTCCTTAAAAAATCTCCCTTTGTATCATCCTCGTAGAGTTGACGGAACTAATCAAAAATATACATGCATGCATGCATACATATTACAAGGAACCAACAAACTAGGCGAATATGGTTCCATTCCGCATCGTATCATTTTTATAAGTAAAGAAAATCAATACCTTCGTAAGTACTAAAGAGAAAATGCTAACTGCCCATCTGGTTTCATGATCTACTACTAGTTGTAGAATTAGCTAGTATTAGTATCATATCAACTGATAATGATGATGATGATGATGATGGTATACATTTGTACACGCATGTATGCACTACACTTAATCACTACTGCGTATGGGTACATCTAGAAGTGGGAAAAGAATAGATATAGATATGTGCTTTTAGTAATACACTTCATGATCCTACTTATCCTCTCTCCCTCACACTCTCTCGTCAACAAAACCTAAGAAGAAATGAAATATCCTTGTTGATTGAGTACTTCTTGTTGTTTTCCTTTCTCTCTCTCTCCTCTCTAAGACCGGGAGGTATGCAATCATCATAGCTATCGTGGGTACGAATTGGGGGTATTCATGTTTGAACAAGGAAAAGTGATAATAAAAGGGGATAGAAATGCAAATATAGAAAAAGAGAAACGAAAGAAAACCCAGACGAGAAGGAAAGAGCAACTGGAAGGGAGGGAATAAAATATAGTAAAAAATAGAATAGCACAAGGGGAAGAATGGCACAAGGAATAAGATGAACGGCCAAATCGAGTCAGATCAAATCAAATCAGATCAATTCAAAACGAACCAGATGCTCTCCGAACAAATCCCCTTAAGCTAAGGTATTGGGGAACATAGAGGGGCAAAAATAATAGAAGGAGGGCTAAGATTAAATGGCAGCCAATTAGTCATATCATATCAAGTCAAGTCGAACTCCTAGAACACCAGACCCGATGCTGGAACTTCCCCCCTTGGGGTGGAATGGATGATGGGGATATCAGCTGGCTAGCTTTGGTTTCACTAGCTGGCTGGGGTTACTCATGCTATACCCGTCCCTCGATACCAATGTGTCTCGGGTTTAGCTCCTTCACGCCATCTTCGGGGTTGAAGTGATTGTCGTTGGTATCCATCTCCTGCTCAGGGTAGGGAGGAGGTGGCGGAGGAGGCGGAGGAGAACCAAGATCTTGTTTGTCTGCAGGAGTGGGCTCATCTGCATCGCTCTTCATATTCCCATCTTCGCCACTTTGGCCTTGCTCGTTACCAGGGCTCATGGGAGGAGGGGGTGGTGGTGGCGGCGTGGAGGATCGTTGGCGCTTGGACGAAGACGGGGTAGTATACTCAGTTGTGCTTCCATCACCGGTGCTTGGCTCATCTTCTCTCTTACGTTTCAAGAGGCCTTGCACTTCGTCTGTCATGGTCGTAGGCGTCTCGTCATCCTGTGTTGGAACCCGATCGTCCTCATCGTCAGACATCTTTACGTCCAGACCGTCATCCTCGACGGCCTCCGCTGCCGCGTCAATTGGCTTCGCATCTGGCTCTTTCGACTGTCGCTCTGCTTTCCGTTGTTCGTATGCGCGGTGCTTGACGACAGCTTTGTCGAAGAATTCCTTGCAGAATTTCTTCACCTTCTTTTGCTGCTTGTCGTCGATCTTGGTAGGGTCCCCAACACGGTTGTTTTTGAAATCCGAATTTACCAATTTCTTAGCCACCTGTGTTGACAGCAATTGGTTAGCTCGACTATTCTTCTGTGAAAGCTTCAAAAGAGGTTTCATCTCACATCTTTGGCATAGCGTTTCAAGTCGTCTTTTGGAAGTTTGTGCTTGAACTTGTCCACCACATACTTGACATGGGGATAGAGCTATTCGGCGCGTCAGTACTTGCACGCCTTTCTCGAGTTTTATGCCTCAAACGCTGTGCTACTCACCGTGTTCTCATAGATTTTCTTTCGCTTCTCCTCGCTATATGACCTCCACTTTTCTTGACCATCCTTCATATCCGGTGTTGGTCTAGACGCTTGTGGTGTAGCTGGGGTCCCGCTCTTCTCCTTTGGTGTGTTCTCCTTGGCGTTCATGATACCATCGATGATGTCCTGCAATGCCTTGTCTCTCGATTCTTTCGGGGCCGGTGGCGGTTGAGGAGCGGCCTTTGTCGGTCGCGTCCAGGTAGTATCCCCGCGAGCGGAGTAATAGTAGGTTCTCCCATTTGATTCTGCTTGGAACCATCCTGGCGGGAGGGGGTTGAATAGTCGACGGAAGGGTCGGGGACCATGATGGTGAGGATTTCTCTGGCCATGTCCGCCTCGCGTTTGAGCAGCTGGCCCGCGAGGGGCTTCTATAGACCGCGACCTCGATCGGGAACGAGACTTTGACCGTCGTCGCTCATCTCGAGTGTTCTCCCGCCGCCCGAACTGGTTAACAGCTGGCGTCGTGGCATTGGGATTTCTCTTCATGCGTGGAATGCGATAACCAACCTCGAGGGTCGACCAGACTTGCAGCAAGGTGGCTGACTTCTTCTCCACACGCTCATCACCACAGCTGGTCAATGGTTGAATGGTAGACTCAATCTTGGAGTCGATGATCTTGTTCCGCGTCAGACGAGGAAACTTGTCGAGAATGTCGAGAATCTGTAAAACGACGTTGTGATCCTCCTTCCACATGCCCAGCTGAGAGTTCAGAATCTGGTATCCATGCATTTTCACCACCCGATTACGGACTCGCTCATCATCACAGCGCTGAATTCGTCCCAGGAGCTTGACCGCGATCCATTTCTCCTTGCACTGCATGAGCGCCGCCATGACCTTAGTCACGCCATTCTCCTCCAGGGACTTGGGCTGCACGCTGTCCACATATTCCTCATCGTCCTCTCCCGTCTTCTTCTTGCGTGGCCGCTTCGCAACCGCGGTGTCCCAGCCGTCTGCATCGTCAATACCCAAAGCTTCGATGGTAGCATTCGACAACTTAGTAGCCCGCTCCGTTTGAGTTCTACCTCCGATGAAGCCGGTACAGTTAGGCTCGCCGCAGTAACAGGGTTGCGGATCTGCCCCATAGCGGTCGACATTGTAGTTGAAGACGAGTTCCTCCCCAGCTTGAATGTGTCGTTCAGCAAAAATTCCCATGCGAAGTTTCTCGCCAACGACCCACTTGTCGACATAACAATTGGGATTGCACGAATGGTTGCAAAAGCGGCCAAGATTACCCTTTTTGGTCGCATCGACAAATTCACCCTTGCTGAGGGACATGAAATAAAAGTGCTTGATTCCCTCTTCGTCATACTGTCTCATGCGGCGCCGAAATTGGCCCTCGTTGATGACTTCGCCCACATACTCAAAGATGAATTGGTGCGGTCGCAGGTCAGCCTCCGCCCGGAGACCGAACCCTTTCTTTTCCGTTTTGATCACCGCCACCGGAGCATATTCCCTTCGCTGGAATCGTTGGTTCTGACACTCTGGCCCACATCCACAATCGCCCATGCATTCGATCTTGGTCGCGCGGTTAATGCAATCTGAGTCTTCACCGCATGCCAGATTTTTGGAGACCGACGGTTCTGGTCATGGGTTAACTAATTAGGTCCGTAGGTGGGGGGAAGACACACAAAACAACACAGACATGGAAAAACCAACAACCAAAGAAAAGGGGGAGATGTATCGAAATAACAACGTGAAATAACAGAGTGTTTAAATAAATAGGGAAGGGACAGAAAATAAACAAAAAGGCAGGAGCGTAGACCAAGTGGCCGTTCCCACCCCCCTCTCAAGATGGGTTTGAGGAACGCCACCACGCGTAGGAGCCAAACGATGAAGCCAGTGACGGCGAGGTTGAGTAGACAGACAGCGCAGGAGATAATCAGTAAAAACTTACCCCATTCTTCAGCACAATCGCATTCCATCGCATGTTCAGTATAGCCCATGTACTTATTGGCGTACGTGCATGCGTCCATCAAGTCAAACGTCGCTTGAGCCTCAGCTGTGCTATCCGGCAGATGGGCAAACAACTGCGGTGGCCGTGGAACAACCTTCTGGGAAGAGCTCCGTGTTAACTTGGGAGGCTGTCCAGGCTCGAGCTTGACAATAATGTCGCCGCCGACTTTCTCCTCCTCCACGTTGTCCCCATGATTGTTCTCCGCCCCTTTCACATTGCTTCCGTCGTCTTCGTAGTTCTCTTCCTTCTTCACCGGGGCTCGAGAAGAAGATCGTGATCGTTCTGCCTTTGGGGTCGGGACGGGGGAGGCGTTGGAGGCCGCGTTTGACGATTCATCCTTGATCATGGCTCCTCCGCCGTTTGGCATGGCTGAGTTTTCGGGCGCTGCGTCGGACTCCAGCTTCATCGCGGTCACCGCATCTGCGACAGATTCTGATTGATGGTCCGCGTAGTCATGAGGGGACATGACGACACGGACGGAGCGCGCAACTTATTCGGTGCCCGGTGGGAGATGCGCTGAGGCTAGGCTAGATCGGAGACCGCGCGAGAAAGTTGTCGTTGTGGTTGCAGTTCCAGTCTGGTGGAAGACAAGAAGCAAAAGAGAAGAAAAAAGGTAAATGGTGAAAATAAAAGAAGGGGGGCGGAAGGAGAAAAGAAAAAATAAAAAGAGAGAGAGAGAGAGCAAAGAAGGGAAAGTGAAGCGATGAGGAAAGACTGGCAGAATAATTCGACGAGAACTTAACCACCAGAAAGAAAGTCGCAAGTCAAAGCATCGCCCACGTTTTCCGCGGGTGCCAAGAATACCTCGAGGGTAGAAAGGGTCGAGAGCAAGGTTTCACGACCACCCCAGTGTTAGCCGGGAATAGCCTACAGAGAGGACTGAGATATTGGGGAATCTTTCATTTCAATGTTATTGTCGTTCTATTCTAAGCCAAGGTGGTCTATTATCTATTCACCTCGACTCAACGATCCGGTGGCTCAGTATACAAACCCGCCACCCGCCCATTTAGACCATGACAATAATCCTTCACTATCGGTATGTCTCTTTCAAAGCACACAAAAGGTCTAATCGGGAATGCGGAGTTAAACACGCATTGAATTATACCTTTGTTCTCATCCTCTGTGAATACATCGCTTTCACAGACGAGACAGTGGGTGCTCGACGCGTGTTATCATCCCAGCGAGAGGGTTTGCATTCCAACTGATCTTAACCGAGTATCGATCCAGCATAAACCAACCCATGCTTAACTCGGGGTCCACTAACGGTCACTTGTTATATGTGGTCTTTTCTGCCCTTTTAACCTCTTTGCATTTGGGAGTTGTTCAATACTGTAGCTATCGTGGGGTTATTAAGATCTGAGCACTCAGCTTCACGGTGTCATGGTGCTAGGACGGGGCAGATCTGGTAGGCAATCCATGTTGTCATAGTCCCTAAGTAGTAGAAACTCGGCTCTGCGATACCTTTGCAGAAATCAGAGTGTCAGCAGAAGCACTTGGAACGGTTTCTTTCTAAGCAAAGCTGGCTTTCAATGGAGTTATGAGACCTGGACATTGCATTCGGGGCCAAGTTCAAGCCAACGACCGAGTAAACGGGGGTTGCAGAAACGGACTACAATTAATGGGAAAATGACAGGCCAGCAAGACAAAGCGAAGGCATCGTAGGTCAAAGCACAGGAGGGAACTTGCGATTCGTAATCCTGGGAGATACAGACTTACTGTACCATCTCAAGTCCAGCTACCCCCTTCCCGTCGCATCTTCCGAGGACGGGGCACCGGGTAGTTATGAAGCAGGAAGAGCGCGTGAAAGCTAAGACGACCGGCACCTGCAGATGGGGAGACGGAGAGACTGTCCTCCAACCAACTTGCGGTTCGCTTATGCGGGAGTCAAAATCATAGGCCACGAGACGCCCAAATCAACAAGACTAGGGCTAGGGGTCCGCCTGGCCATGCAGCTCCCTCTCCTAATCCTCCCATCCAATGGATAGGTGGTCGGACGGAAGATCAAATGGCAACATGGATACCACGGCCGGTGTACAGGACTCACATGCAGTGGAGAACGCAGGTAAGAAAAAAAGGATCTGCAAGAGAAGCATTAGGATGCAACGCAATGACTGTACTGGACGACATGTCGAATTCAGGAGCATTCTTCTACCGTGCTTCCAGACTGACGTGGTTCGGGGCGGCTAGCGATTGGAGGAGGCCGTCGCATTTTGGGTAAATGCAGGCAGGAAGTATATGCACTCCGTAGGTAGCGCAGCAGAGTTCAAATTGAGTGGTGGTCAGGTAGACTTAGCCGGATGGATGGAGTCAAATGGGATCACTGCCGTTTTAATGGCAGCACTAGGTACACGGAATCTCCATCCGGAGCAGGGACGGACCTAGTACGGAGGAGAACTCACTGAATGACTGGACTGATCTCGAGATTCCAAGATGCAGGCCGTCCCACGCCGGACGGAACGCTCTAATTCTTCTCGGAGTCCGTGCTTAGTTTGAACTTTCTTTCTGTGAAACCTTCGTCTGAACCATGGGACCTGGCAGTGATCCCCAGCCTTTCAGCATTTAAAGGTAAGGGAAAGAGATGGGAAGAGCGAATCGTGATACAGAGCTTGTGTGTCCAGTCAAACGTAAGACGGGGCGATGGGAAATTGAAGCCATGACAATCAGGATATGACCATGCATGAACCGGTGTTGCCTCGATAGAGTGGGTTGGATTATCGCAGAGGGAGTTGGCCTGTCTGTGTATGTACTACACTATACTACTAGTATTGTATGGTATTATAACTTTCTTGTTATAACTAGGATGAGGGGGAGAATTGTTTTGGGGCCATTTCAGAGAGTACTTAGTTACTTACATACACCCAAAGAGAGAGAGCCTCCGAGGTAACTGGTACCTCCTAAGTACCTGTCTGGGTCTTAACAGTCATAATAGGTACCTTTTTCGGAGCAAACCCACCAGCACTGATGTTCAGGCCTTGAGTTGTGCCTCCGGTGTACCCCGTTAGGTACACGGCACACTATAGCGAGATAGCAGATACCTATAGCCGAGGATTATGGTATGCGATCCACATGCGTGCATTTCATCGCTGCTTAGGGCCAATTCCCGTCCTCTCACACAGAACCCCGGGTGCTTTTTATTTTAGGGTTTATAGAAAAAAAAAAAAAAAAAAGAAAAAGAAAAGGATGAGAAATCATCATCATTACAAATAGTAGCTACTTAATGTAAAAACTAAAAAAGGAATGTGTGTAAGACGAGAAGGGAAAAGAGAAAACCGAAGTGAAACCGTGATGGGCTATAATGAATAAGCGTAGGAATCGACTAACTTAACTAACTAATGCAGAGTATCGGTGGATTGTCAAAAGACACATCTGTGCGCAGAAGAGGCAGACCGTCTAAGAACATGGATCTTGCACCTAAGCGCAGGCCAATTCTTCCACACAAATACTCTCTGGTGGATATCATCAGTTGCCTTCTTCAGGAAGGTAAAACTACATGCTAGATACTTCCCTCGAAAACTTTAACTAGTCATGCATCTTTGAATGAATTAAGATGAATTTTTCCGCTATACTACCAGACGGTGACGAGAACACAGTCACTAAAGCATATACGCACGCCCTCATACACACGCACATACAAAGAGCACTAGCTATACGGAGGAGAAACCCTTGTAGCCTGAGTTTACAAAAGTATTATTTATATTAGGAAAAAGAATACTAAGAAATACGACTACAACCACGATGGACATCCCTGGCGGAGGGTGAAGATACGTTGGTCTGAAGTTAATTAACCTACTAGGGCGCCTAGTGTGCAAAGAACAGCATCAGCGCCATACATGGGTCAGACTTGCTAAGACAAGATCCAAGAGTTTCGAGTATTGAGAGACTAAATGATAAACTACTTCGACATACACACTGCAAACACATAATAAGTAGTAAATTATAAAAGTTAAATAGATCAAGACCTTACATTTGGATCATTTCGAGTCAATCTCTTCATCAATCGGACATTTTTCTCCTCTTAAAAAGAAACAGAAAGAAAACTTAAAAAATAAAAATAAAAACATCACGATTTTACGCACCGCAAGTTTTCCAAGCCCTCGCCAGCGTTTACCACAGTCTGGAATTCCCTTTAGTTACAAGCGCTACGGGTACCTGAGGTGTGGGTCTGCCACAATGTTCCCGCCTGCCAGGAAGTCACTGGTACCTCCGCGGCGGGTACCGAAGTGCTGGCTTTTTACCAAACCAAACAGCGGCCAAGTAGGGTAAGCTTACCTGGTTGCCGGAAGGTTCTACCCTTCCTACTGGTAGTTTTTAGTACTATAGTAGTATGGTACGGTCAGCGGTTAATTGGTTACGGACTGCGCCACAGGCCCCTCTGCCATTCCCCAAAGGCAAGTACCTCCTCGTCTCGGAACTCCCTTTGTTTCGATCTTCCCCTTTTCCCGCGATGTGCTTCGTTCTCTCGGTCGATTTCACACCCCGAAACCCCCGCCCATCTCCATTACGGTCCGTTGATCAATGGATACGGTGGTCTTTCATTCCTGGCCATAAACGACCGTGATTCGGACTCGTCGGGGAAGGTCGAAGAGAGCCGGTGGGAAACCCATCGGCCTCAGTGACAACCTGTCCATGCAGGACTATAGTGGACTACCGTCTGACGGTTGATTCATGTTGGCGGGGCTTTGCTACTCCTGCATGGTTCTCGTGCATGGGCCATTGTCTGTCTCGATCCGATGTTACGATGCACAGGTGCAGACAGACCACTTTGCTTTCTCGCATTGCTACTAATAATACTTACTTGTTGGCCACCTTCCGACAATCGACCCGTCAAATGAAAATCAGCGGCAACATTGCCTAGATCGTCACCACGATGACCTGACGATGTACTGTGTAGTACTAGACCGTCTAGCGAGTTCACAAGCGCGGTGGTATGAGCCCAGCCTGCCTTGTGGGGGAAGGCTTCTGTCGGCTGGTCGGTCTGCTTCATCTCTTCCCGATGGATTTATTTTTCTTGTCCCTGAGCGCCCGCCGTGCCGACCAATTTGGTCAGACAAAAAAAAAAAAAATTATGGTGAAAAATAAATCGAAACGGCTATTTGTGGAATCGGATTTATAAAAAAGGAAAATAAAATTAGGGAAGAGAAGAACGACCGCAAAAAATCCGCTTCTGCGCAACAATCCATACTAATGCCGGCAGCTACCTCTTGTTCCCTGACTCTCATTTATTATGAGTCGGTCTTCTCTTTTTACATATGCTACTGAGCTTCCGAAGAGAATTCTCATCCAGATGGTCAACATGATCTCTGGACCATACACTCAATCTGCTCCGATGCTAGACAGGATGAGCAATACTGTGAGTGGACTGGAAGTATCCAGTCAGACGGCTTAGTGTCTGGGCTGGCCGTTCCGGAACATCCTTGCAGCCTTCGTTCAATCGCCTTCTGCACTAACGGGATCCATCCTCTCTACCCAGCCTCCAGGATTTTGCTCTCGTCCGCGCCTATTGCGGAGCCCAACACCCCCACTCTGCGGTTATCAACCACCTCCGCTGCTATCATTTTTCTGCCAGTCATCGCCGGATGCATTCCCGCTATCGTGAATAGGGCCAATGCATGCTTCTGCATTTTCCTGTAACTGTATGCATTACAGTACACGGACTGACACACAAGAGACAATTTGCTGTCGGGATGGATCGACCGCACTACCTACTTCCGGGCCCCAACCCCGAACCTCATTCCCTTAGGAGAAGAGTGCCTTCATTTCTGAGCAACCTGTCGATTCCAGGCCATTGACCCAACATCTTGGGGCGCCCGTACCCACTCATCATCAATCGCCTGTCGCCCATCATGTACCGTCAGAACGCGCTGCGTCCCGTGAGAGGGTCTTTTTTTGCCCCAGAGGAACGCCTCTTGACCCAGAGGCGGCAAGTCTTGCCTTCCTGGATATGCCTAGACGATCCTCTTTCGATTTTCTTCCTTATATTTATTATTATTATTATTATTATTATTATATTTTTTGTTCCCCCATTCTATGTTATTTCTTTACTTCTCATCTCATTTGCTATCGTCCACTCAACTTATCCACCCCTTTTCTAGTGCACAGGACTTTAACTTTGTCTGAATTCGTAGCCAGGGCGTACAGCAGTAGCCGCAGGCTGTTGTTGCATTGCTTCTTCACGCCGAGTCGGTTTTGGTCTTGTGGCCCCCCCTGCTCTTGTTACCCGTCCGGGTTTACATCGTTTTCCTAGCTTTCATGCATCTTTAGTCTTTCGCTGCTTTTTGGCACCCCTCCTGGTCTTATTCGAACTGGCTCGGAAATTCCAGAGCTAACGCGCCCCTCCCGGTTGAGCGTGCTGTTGGCTTCCCTCCCCCTCTCTCCCCTTCCCCTCTGCTGCAAATGCCACCGACACTTGATGGCATTTTTGAAACCATCGCTCTTGAAACACTATCCTTTTCGGTAGCTTCCGGTCTAGTCCCTCTCTGGCAGGTTGGGGTCCGCTGTCCTTGATTCGGGTCACTTAAGTTCTGACCCATTGTGGCTCTCTTCTCGTCTTCGACTCTCCAAAAGTTGCAGGTCGCAAGGTAGAGGGGGAGCTAAAGAATAGGAGTCCCTGCAGCCTTCCTCTTGCCAACCGGCCGCATGTCTGGCATCTGCACCAGTGCTCTCCTGCGCAGCCCCGACTTAAAAAGTCCGTTTGGCTAGAAAACGTTTTTGAGAGGGTACGGTGTTACCTCACTACTGGTCGAGCGTCTCTCTTCCCCCCTTTTCCTCTTCTTACATTCGTTTTTCACCCTCGAGGTGGTACCAGTATGCACCGTTGAAACTGTTCTTTCCAGAAATCCATTCGATCTCCAGCGACGACGGCAGCCAACTGCCCTGACGTTTCTCTCTTAGGGCCACGATCCACTTTGGTTCCATCGTTTATTTTTATCTCCGTTCCCTTTTTTTCCTTCTTTTGATTTTAAATCTTTTTCTTTTTTTATTCCCCTTGTTTTCTTCTTCTTTCCTCCTTTTGGAACTTTCCCAAGCCTTTGTTCCACGCGGTGGCCTGAAATCGCAGAGGCAACTGTTATCCATTCGGAGGTGTTCCTACTGGGTTGTTTTGTTTCTATAGCCTCTCCTTACGCCGTCTTCTTGCTTTTACCCTTGCGATCTCTCATGTGTTCCACTACCTCAGTGAACGATTATTTGACTTTCAATGTCTGCTATTCAACCCATGTGCATCGGCTCATCTTCCTTTCATTCGTTTGCTGACCATTGTTTTGACCCTCTTCCTCTTTCTTGACATTTATTCGCTGCTCTCCTAGCTTGCTTTTGCATCTCTATTTAAGAACCCACGTGTTGATACACTCACTGGTGTAGACGCATCGTTCCGTTTGGGAGGCTCCGTGGCAATTCTGTTCTTCCTTTTTTTTCTTTTTCTTTTTTATTGTTTCCCTTCTTTCTTGTTATCGTTTCTTCGGTCCCTCGTCGATTCGTGCTTGGTGCGTGTCGACCTGGTTGGCGTTGTGCTTTGCTCTTGACTGTTCTACATCCGTAGTCGCGTGACGCGTCACTCTTTATATCTTGCTTCCAGTCTAGATTCTGGGATCGGTTTTACATTCGGTTCGTGTGTTTGGTCATTCATCAAGCAGGTAATCCGCCTCCTTATACTTCCATGGTCTGCTGGCTATGTCGAATCAACCAGAGAGGCCATGGACTGAGGAGGAGAAGGTAGGGCCTCCAATCCTCGCCCCTCTTCCTACGACAGATTTGGGCATGGAAGTCCCTCTGTCGTCGCAATTTCCGGTGCTTTTGCTGACGGAGGTATGGCTGGCTCTAGTACACTCTGCTTACGGAGATTCTGAAGAAGGCCCGAGTGCCTTCGAGCCATCTTGTCAGAATGATCAGGGATTTCAACATTACCCCAAGCTGGGCGGATATACCCCTTCCTCCAGGTACAGATCTGCCAGCACCTTCCGCTTGTCCTCTGCCCCGGGCAGCTTGAGTTAATGCGACTCACTTCCTGTTCGCATTGACTGCGTACGAGGACAGCCTTTCATGCTCTGGATGGTTGACTTAGCATTGCTGATCCGATTCTGTCCAGGTCGCTCCCTCAATTCCTGTCAAATAGCGTTCTGTAACATGCTGCAACATGTTCAACTATCCGTCACTCACAGCCTCGGCTCGATTCCCCCGCAACCCCATGAACCCTCCGTACCAGCAACCGTTCCTCTAGAAAGCAGTAGCGTCTTGCGCAAGAGGCCCCTAATTCCTTCTGACAGGACAATTCGTGCCCCGCGTGCGATACAACCACGCCCTGCGACGAGCACCGCTTCTTACAGTAGCGAAAGTGGAGCTTCGGCCCTCTTGTCCCCAAGTTCGGAGAGCGTCACTGCCAGAGGAGAGCCTCCACGGAAGCGTGGACGGCCTAGTAAGGCTGAATCGGAACGGCGCAAGGCAGCTGCTGAGGCTCGTGGAGAAACGTATCCACCCCCACGGCGGTCTGGATCTCACAAGCTGAAAGTTTCGTCTACGCCCACTAGTCCCTCCGGAGTCGCACCAGGGTTGCCGTCATTTTCGCCCCAGGCCAGCAGCAGTCGCCCGCCGGAATTACCACGACATGAAATGCACTACGTTCCTCCGCCGGGGAGGCCAATTCCGTTGATGGGACCGAGTAGCGACGAGCGGCCAAGGGATATGCCGAATCAAGACATAGGCTCTTCGATGCGAGAGCTACCGCGTCCGGATTTGAGACAGACTTTGCCATCACCCGGAACCCTACATTTAGGTCATAGAGATACACCACTCATACGACGGGAACCGGGGATGCCTTTTGAGCCTCTCCCACCGGACAGACATCCTTTCTCACAAAGCAACCGGAGGAGTCTCATACATCCTACTAGCAGATATCCAGATGAACCGCCCACACCAGCCTCCGATCTACCCATATCCAAACCACCAGAGAATAGGCCGGAATGACATGAAGAATAAGCACACAGCGTCTCCGATTTCCCGGTTCATCATGGCATGACGGACGAATTACAACATTGAATATGAACGATAGTTAGCGGAATCCCTCACCAGAAAAGCAAATCGGAATGTAAAGGAAGCAAGGCAATGGGCGCCACATCCTTCATACGTTATTTTCTTCTTCTTCCCATCTCACATTATTGCGCATCGGGGTCCCGCTCTTCGGCGGGGCGGCTTAAGGGACAATTTGATTGCTCATGCTTGGCGGATCGATATCCCTATGACCGAGTTGAAGCGTCCGACAGACATGTCCAATTTTACTTTCTCTGGGCTGGCTTAACTTGCGCGTATCTGGCTGAAGCTGTGCAAAAGTCGGTCAACCTCGTCACCAAAAGCCTGATTGGTCCACTTTCCTTGATCAATTTCCTGCGTTTTTCTTCTCCTTCCTTATGCGTACATGCACCTTAATGATGCACTGAGTTGATGATCTTCCATGCATATTGAATTCTGCACACATCATCGGGCTTTCGGAGCACTATTCCAAAGTCTCCATTCATACGAACTTCATGAATATGACGTGACATATTGACTTTCCTTGTTTCTGGGCATAATCTTCCTTGTCCTACATCATGTGCTCTCTCTCTTCCCCTCCCTCCGTCTCTCTTATTGGCATTCTTCGCTTCTTCCGCTTGTGGCTTCTTCTCCACTGGCCAACTTTTCTTCCTCTTCCTCTGCCTTGACCCTCTCCGCTGTCTCTGAGCGTGTGGTTCTTCTATGGTCAGGACATAATATATTGTATAATTACTAATTCTTTTAGTGATCAGATCTTGACAAGGTTATATGTACAGCTTTTCAGTTCTTTCTTCAAGAGGTCATCGTGCCATATTGGAGAAAGACGAACAGAGGATCAAAAGAAGTTGAAGAGGAGCAAGCACTATTAAGCACAGCTCCAAACGCGTAGACGTCAGATGTAATATCTCTAGCTCTAGCTCTGCTTCACTGTAATGTTTGTGCATCGTAATATGTATTAGGGCGCCCCGTCGAGCCTGTGGCTGGCTGGTGATTGTTCGTTGCATGATTATTATTCATACCGAGTGTTCTAAGGATTTTGCATTACACTGCTATATCTAAGCTTGTCAGAAATGCTATTATCTGACATAAGTACAGTAGGGAATGAATGTGTCGCCAGGTATTTTCTTCCTTCTGGCTGCTGCATGCAACGGTAATAATAATCCCCTTTCTATTTTACTAAAAATGACTTCGTAGTTGCCCGCTGTCGACCTATACCCAGGGTAGTCCTCTCCCATCATTTTCTCGATCACGGGTCCTGACTACTCCTGACCCGATCAAGCAAGGACCTTAATCTGGTTGTCGAGGAGATATCTGATGGATTAGATGTCTCAGGGCCACTAGTCGTGGTGGTACCAGCCGCCGCAGACAACGATGCGACTGGCTCCGGAATGCCGCCCGAGGCAGATGGCACAGATGGGCGAAGTGGGGCCGGTTTTTGATTCTCTGCAGCCTGCTGTGCTTTTTGTTCTTGTTGTCGCTGTTGTTGCTCCAATTGAAGTCTGATGGCGCTAACTGCAGAGCTCAGGCTTAGGCCTGTGTTCTTTCGGCCTGATGCTATAGGTGAATCGGGGCTATGTTGTCCCACGAGTTTCTTCACATCGTCTCGTCCTTCCACGCGGCGGGTGAGGTACATCTTGGGAATGGTGCCTTGCCGGGGAAGGGTGCGGGTCCGGATGCGTTCAATTTCTTGTCGATAGGCGGTCTCGTAGATGTCGAAATCAGCGGCACCGGGAGATTCGCTTACAATTGGATGGGATACGTCGACGTCCATCTCGTCGGGTTCGGCAGATATCATGTTGTCAGGTTCTTCGAAGATGGGATCGGTGTCAGCATCCATGTTGGGTTCGTTGGACGAGCCGGTGTATGTTGATGGTCCGATGTATAGGAACGGGAATTCCTCCTCCAGAGGATCGCGTGCATGGCCACGGGTTCCTTCAACGCTGCGCTTTGTGGTGACCGAGCTAGCCCGGGATAGCGGGACGAAAGGAGACGGGGACTGAGGGTTGGAGTTGGATTGGAACTCGTCAATCGACCCTCCGGCGATATTGTGACTGCGAATAGACCCGGAATCTTTCCGTTCAGGCTCCATTCTGGAAGCAATTCTGCCGTTGTTGCCTGGCGCAGGTCCGGGTTTACTGTGATGGCTGAGAGACTCGCTGCTGTCGGTAAGCTGGTTGGGAATTAGATCGTCGCGACGCTGATGGAAGCCTTGCAACACGTTATCACGTTCCCAAGGTCGCCTATTATACATGTTCAGACTCTGGCTCTTGTTGAGTATGGGCATATTGCCGCTGGCTGTGAAGCTCTCCTCTGGCTCCATCTCCATTGGAGGCTCAACAAAGTGCGTCTCGTATTCTTGACCAAGGATGCTCTGCATGGGCGGGTCTGCCTTTGCCGGATCTATCAGTCGTTTGAAGTGCGTAACCGCCTTGATCTATTGGAATCGTTAGCTTGAAACTTACCAGTCACGACAGTAGTATCTTCAATGAGGTTATCAACTTACCACGGCCATGACGTGACCAATAGTTTTCGTAATGGCGGAGTTCATCTCTTCTTCTGTGGGCAGACCGACGATCTCAGCGGTGTTCTCGCTCTCTGGTAGAAGAGGATCAAGTCCATTCTTCGTCACCCAAGGGTGTTCCTGTATGCAGACTATGAGTAAGATAATGGCGTACAGGCAGCGTTTTTGCTTCACGACGTACCCGCAACTCCTCCATCGTGATCCGCTTAGCCGGGTCCTTTTCCAGGATTCGGAACATCAAATCCTTGAAGTTCTCGTCGGTCTCTCCCTCGCATACAACAGGGTCGTTCTTGATGGCTTCGTAAAGCTCAAAGATACTTTGCTTCTCGAATGGGAGCCTGCCATATCGAAGGCAGTACAGTGTGACCCCCATAGACCATATGTCCGTAGCCTTGCCCGAGACATCACCGTGTCTCACGACGCACAGTTCCGGCGGAAGAAAGGCAGGAGAGCCTGCTGACTTTGCGGTAAACATGTTTGAATCCTTCTCGAACATCTCCGACACTCCAAAGTCAACGACTTTCAAGACATCGTCACTCGTCAATAGACAATTGTCTGGTTTGATATCGCGATGTACAATACCCTGCGCATGTAGGTATTCGATTCCTAAAATCAGATCGCGGAACCAACAGCGGCATTGGTCGTCATCATAAGGATCTGCTCGTTCCTCGAGCCCGACCTTCATGATCACTCCTTTCTTACACATCTCCATGACCATGTATAGTGAGTCTTCTGTAGGATCATCGAGGACTTCTATGAGAGATACAAGGTTGTTGTGATTCAGCTTCTTCATGATGGCAATTTCTTCCTTGATCAAGTAGAGGGCGTTTTCCTTGTGCTCATCCCCACCCGGCGGGCGGCGATGCAGTGGGGAGTTGAAGCCATCTGAGGGACGCTTAGGGCCCCGGGGCCTGCGCAGAAGATGTGACTGGGCACGTTTCCGTAGACGAGCCTTGGAGAATTCCTTTACAGCCTGAACGGTGCATTCTCGGTCAGCTTCTTCAGGAGATACCCGAGATGATGTTGCGCAGGGGCAAGTACATATTCGTTTCCAAACTGGTCAGTGGCAAGATGCACTGCCCCGAATGATCCTCTGCCGATCTCTTGCTTGATCACATATTGATTGATCCGGTGCTCAGCAGTGCCATCATCCTGGCTGGTATAATACTCTGATCGAGCATTCAGCGTTTCCTGGTAACAACGATTAGCGAGAGAGCTATACAATCAAGAGGCAGGCGTATTTATAAGCGGTAGTCAAACAGCACGTATGAGAGCGTATTACCAGAGCAAAGAATACATACCTTAACTGGACGCCTGACTATTGGGTTCCGGCGATGATGTCTCTGGGGACTTTCGTAGGAAGGGGTGGAACTAATTTCCGAAGTCGATGTGAATCAGTATCCCCATGTAGGAGCATCCGGGAAGAATGAGTGCACGGTTGAAGAAAGCCAGAGACAGGCCTGAGGGTAGATTCGGAAGATGAGACGAGCAAAGCAGTGCAACTCACACACAGCGAAATGGCGGCAGAGGTGGCCGCTTGGTGGTGATCGGGCTGGCATCCTGCTGGGGGAGCTCGGCGTCCCCTGAGGCCATTGGAAGATGTCCACGACCGAACAACCGCGGCAAGGATTTAGGGTCCCGAGTGTTTCACACAAAGATCGGAACTGGGCAGACTTGGGTCGGTCGTGACGAGAAGAGGAAAAATGACGGTTGCCTGTGATGAAGTGTGGGGAAAGATCGGGGTTTACGAGGCAATGGAGATAAGCAGCCGTTGCGCCGAAGTCAAGATTTGGCAAGAGGGACCGACTGAAGAAGGATTCAGTGCTGTGGAACAGGGACTCCGGGAAGAAGAGGAGGAGGGAGAAATGATTTACTTCTCCTCAAGGTTGCGGTGTGAGATCAAAAGACAGAATCGAAGAGAGGGAGAGAGCTGAAAGAGATCGACGGGGGGTGATTGAGAGGGGAAATCGTGGTGGTTGAAGAAGTGGTGGATGCCCAGGGCACCAGATTTATGTAAGGCTGATACTAAGCATTACGAGGCGTTAATTCTGAATTTCCCCGAAGAAATAGTGATAGGCACGATTTATTGAACTTCAAAGCATCACTTGACGATCTGCTCGATATAATCTCCAGCCTACGACTCATCAACCACAAACGGAATTCTTAAACAGGGGAGTTCAGCATATAATCGAATTGTATTGTTTTTTGTTTTTTTATGGAATTGGATCGAGAATCCGTGGATCTGAGCGACTCACCGCCCACGAGTAAGATCCCCGAGTCTAATTCAACTGATCAGCTTAACCTTCTCCCCTTCTTCCCCCCCCGTCAGACCCGCCCTCGATCTCCTTTTCTGGGGCTTATCATCTTGTATCTCTATCGTTCGGAAGACACGTTTCAAGCCACCTCTGCGACGCTCCAAATATAGACTGTTCGTTTCTAATCCGTTATCTTCGCTACTATCCCCTGTCGGCATCATGGTTGTTTACTCCTTCTATATCTTCGATCGTCATGGTACCTCCCTCGCATCCATCCACCCATCCATCCCCAGCCATTCCAATTGACGTTGCTAACCCGGTCTCTCCCATCCTAGCTGAATGCATCTATAATCGGCGCTGGCTCCCACGCCCAACCTCCATGACTGGCAGCAAGTCCTCACGACCGACTTCCGAAACATCTACTCCGGGTCTCCCCGCTACATTAGGCCAAACTGCGCGCGCCACCGACGACGATGCCAAGCTCATCTTCGGTACTGTTTTCTCCCTGCGCAACATGGTTCGCAAGCTAGGAGGCGAGGACGACAAGTAAGGACACTATACTACAGCGACGAGGCACCTCGACTGTGAGGACAGTCATTAACAACTCGGCCACGTTTATAGTTTCGTTACCTACCGCACGAGCCAATACAAGCTCCACTACTACGAAACTCCGACCAACATCAAGTTCGTCATGCTGACGGACCTCAAGAGTCCAAATATGCGTGTTGCGTTGCAGCAAATCTACATCAATCTCTACGTCGAATACGGTACGCCCTGGCTTAGCTTACGACGATGACTCCTTCTACAGCCGTACGCTGACCACCTCTGCTTCTAGTGGTCAAGAACCCGTTATCTCCCGCCGAACATCCAGGTGGTATTGGTGTGAACAATGAGCTCTTTGAAGAGTCTTTGGAGCAGTTCGTGGTATGTGCTTTCAACGTCGTCTAAGTTGGATGTCATCTAAACCGATAACAGACTCGGGTTCTGTCATGAAACCGACTTGAAAATCCATTAACACCCTAATCGCTCATGGATCTGAGTCGAAGCGAGCCCCAAGCTTAATTGTTGAGCTTCCGCAAACAAGCATCCATGCGATAGCGGGATCAGCCCCTCCTGCATCCCTATGACCTCAGAGAGCCGTCGTGCAGCAACGGTCCGGTGCGGCGGAGGCCTTCGCCGGAGTCCCTTACTGTCGACTGTCGACACCTGCCACAGGTCCGTTACTCGAGCCACACAAGTGTCATAGCTACATAAGCACATTGCTCGCAGACCTGATTTCAACCCGACACCGGTCCGCGTCCGACACGAACAGCGACCAAGCCAGGACCAGGCACAAACTCTTGATCAGGTTAGTATGGGACAAACGAATTTATGACTTGACGTCTTATCATTATATAATATCCAAAAATGAAACATTGAGAGCATACATGTCCTCCCAGAGATAATTTACATATATCACATAATTACCCATATCATCAACCATAATCACAAAAACAATCCACAACATAACTCATTACACCCTTCCCATCATCCACACTCATCGGTACATGGAAGATGTGATCAATCAAGCATACCGAGTACTCGAAGTCCCCACATTGCCATACAACACCTCATCCGGCAAATCATCCTCATCAGGGCCCTCATTATACTGGTTCCGAGTCTGCGGCTTCGCGCCCCTCGTCCTTCCCTGGATCACATTACTCTGATCAATCGCCTCGTCTTCATCTTGAGCTGTACAACAAGCAGATTCGTTAGCACCTTTTCCTCTTACACACAACGCATAATCATTTTAATACGGTATGGAAGGGGGGAACATACCAAGCTGCTGATCCGAATTGGAATAAGGCGGCTGCATCGGATCCTCATAGATATCATCGTCCCGAGTCACGGGGACCTGATTCTTCAGACCCGATCGCGTCTCATGTGCGTACGAGTTATCCCGGAAGGTGCCAGATACCGGGGACGGGTCGTTCTCGGCCTCGTAGAGGTCTTCGGCTTGACGTTCGTATTGGTTGGACATTTTGGTTGTTGTTGCTGCGTAGTAGCTCTGTTTAGCTTAAGATGGGTTGATTCGATACTATATTGGCTGGTTGGTTGAAGATATGGTTCGATATGAAGGATAACTATGCAGCAGTGATTAAGGGGGGTATTTATATTTGGTTCTATATGGTGATGGAGGGCTGATGCAAGATTGATGTCAGGTTGATGGGGGATGAAAGATTGGGTTTGGGGTTTAGGTTTGGGGAAGATGTCATTTTTTCGTTGTTGCTATTCTTTGCTTTGATGTCAGGACTTTGCTGGGGTGCAAAGTAGTATCTATTGAGTGCTGCTGCTGCTGCTGCTGCTGCTGCTGTACTACTACGATCAGGTAGGTCATTGTGAGACGGATGAGGTGATTGATTGTGGGGATAATGATGGTGATGGTGTCACGATATGCTTTCAATCGTCATCTTTGGATAACAGTACACTGTGTAGATGTATGGGCCAATTGTCTAAGGCAGCCATGCTGTGCTCAGTCAGTCCCTTCTTGCTACTGCGCAGTTTAGTTTGTATACACATGGTAGGGCTGGTTCGGCTGCAGCGGGCGACCCAGACATAGTGACCCCCAAATAGCAAATCAGCATCAAAGCCAACAGCTTCCCACGACAGGGAAATCACAAAGCTCTAGAAGCTACATGTTGGTTCGGTATCATCTCAACCACAGATCAGCTCAAACGGCGGGCATGACATCGCCCTTGACTCACGGTGAAGTAATTCGCCACGGTCTGGCCCAGACCTTTCATTGCTCGCTCACTCACTCACTCACCGCCGCCGCCGCCATCATCCTTCTTCCATCAGGACCTATCGGTGTGAACCCGTGTTTTGCGGTGTTCCTGGCTTTTTGCTGATGAGGGATTTGAAAGACACCAATGGCGGCATTCCCGGGGGAGACGTGACGGGATATGGTGTTGTTGTTCGCTGCCTTCCCTTCTCCCGTTGATGGCCGCTAACTATATGTGCCTTACCTAATCCATTCCATCGTACCAAGAGGAGGGTGGAGGGGGGTTGTGTATGTACACACACCATAAGGATCTCCATTATGACCCTATTTTTAATTCCAAAAATGCTATTTGGCATGGTTCATCTGACTGTTTCCTTCCTTCCTTCCTTTCGCGCGAGGACAACCAGAGAGTGAGAGAGACAGAAGCAGGCTGTGTTCAACGGGTCGGCTTAAGCCGTGCGACAGAACACGAGTTGTGCTTGTGCCAAGTAAGCTCAGCTCTCGCAGCGAGTGAGTGACTCACGGGGCGATCAACTTAGAAAAAAAAAAAAAAAAAAAAAAAAACCAAAAAATATTCTTGAAGATACGGTCAGAGGAACTTGGGCCGTTTCTGGTCTGCACAGCACGGGCAGCTTGGCTGTTTTCCTTTTTCACTTTCGCAGGATGAGAGAGAGAGAAAGCCAAGTCTATACCCGGTCTTGGTAGGTGGGCTTTGTTGTTTTCGTCACGGATTTGCTGGACAAACTTGAATCGGAGCGCAAGCATTATGTCGAGTCAGTCGGGGGAGTCGGAAAGAAACGAATACATATGAAGGCGATGTCCGAGATGTTTGAACTGTTCAGTTCTTTTCAGTCTCAAGTGTCTCTTCTCCGCATGATCAAGATTTATGTCTCCGATCACAATCAGCTGATACTTCGACATGGGGATGTGCCGTGTTACCGGGCAGATGTGCGAGTTGTCCTTTTGAGTGTCATACTGACTTAGTAGTAGTTAACTAGTCAATTAGTTGGTTAAGATTAGGCAAGTTAGTAGACAGTTTAGTTGGGCATATACATCGATCCCGACGAAGCAGCAGCAGCAGTTGTCCGATCGTCGGGGCGAAGGAAGGGCAGGCAATTCCGGGAGTTGCTGCAGTCAGTCCCACACCGTCCTTCATGTAGAGTTTCATACCCACAGCCATTGCAGCACCTTGTAAATCGGTAGATATAGGGGAGAAATGGAAGCAGCAGCAGCAGCAGCAGCAGCAGCTTAATCTGACTCGGGAAAGGAACACGCGGATGCGACGAAAAGCTTGAACCGGCTTACCCGTCCAGTCATTCGCTTCTCTTCGGCTAGTTTACGTGGAGAGGGATCCTAGAAAAGAGGAGGACCAGCAAACTAAACAGTTAACCTCCCCCACTGCTACCGGAATTCGGGCGAATGAACCCGCATCCCAAGCCACCACTGACTCCATTCTCGTCGCTGTTGGATTATAGAACGTTGGGTTGGACGGGGAGCGCGGAGTCCGTGTGCCTGTGAAGTCATATCCCGCAATGAAATGTCCAACCAGGGGGAAGATGGAGGAAGGAGGGGAAGATCATCTTTGAGGATACGAAAGCAAGAAGCAAGCAAGCAAGCAAGCATTGTAGTTAGGTAGAGATAACAGTTGGAGTTGTGAGTAGCTGTAGCTCAGGTTTCTGCTGCTGCTTTATGCTGCATTTCTCTGTAGAATAGAACCAATTGTTTGGATCGCAAGGACCTCTCTCAGTGTTTCTACTAGGTACCCTAAGCTACAGGGTTGACTGACGGGTGGTTGATCACCATGCGGTGGCTGTCTGGATCCCGCATATTGGAGGGGGAAGGAGGGGAGGAAATACGGAGCAAAGCACCCATGACGATGGAAATTAAGGATGTTCGGGGATCCATTTCGTTGTCATCATACCACATGGCAAGTTACTGTACTCTCTCCCGCCACAGAATGGTTCAGCCCGCAATTGATCGCTGGGCCTGGATTGGATACTCACCATACTTTACGGGGAAGGTAGAGGGGGGGAAAGAAGAGGAAAGAAAAGAAGGGTAGCGAACAGCACCCGTATTTGGCATTACGAGGACCCCGGCGTCTTGTTGACTGGCATCATTATCCCCCGTCATCGGGATCCATGTTCATGTTCATCGCTCGGGTGGCGGTCGCCTGTCTAGCAGTTTCGATCATCCCATCAGTGCGCGCAGGGGAAATGACAAGGGCTGAAAAGCATAGATGGATTATTGCCTTATTGTTTCCGCGGGATGAAATGGAAATGAAATGGAATGAAATGATTATTTCATAATGGGGTTGTCTGATCGGAATACTAGCGGTCAACCAAGAGCTGTCTCTCTTTTCTCCTCTCTTACTAGATAGATACCTAGTAGTTAGATGCCTACTAATTCCGTAGATACCTAGGTTTTACTACCTGACAGGCTTCGGCTTGAGCTTTGGCAGTGTTTGTTTTCTTTTCTTTTCCCGTAGTAATAACGAATACCATGTCATATTGTCCTCAATTTGGCCGACGGTGGTGCCAAAGTCAACCCAGACAGACTCGATTTCCCCTGCTTCTCACTAAGTCCGTTTCTACCCTAGTACGGAGTACTCCGGACACATTCTCCATCTTTGTATCCATAACCAGGCTGGGGTTCGGCCGGGTCTTTTTCGGCAGGAGGAGAAGGAAAGAAAAAAGATGAGGAGGAGGAAGAAGTAAGAAACAGCACTAAGTTTGCACGCGTACCTCATCCGTATCCATGGAACAAACATCCACATCCACTCGTGGGTATTTCTTAGCCGGAAACCGTATCGGAAAGCGGTTGTTCCTCGTTTCCGAACGTTCGTTCATCTTTCCTCGTGGAATTTTCCCCTCCCCAACTATGATTGCCAGTTCAACTTTCTTCAGTTAGTACTAGTAAACTACTCCTTAAGTAGTATTACACAGAAGTAGTCTTCGATTATGCTTTCTCGTTTCTCACTTACTTTTCTGTTTTCTTGCCTCTGATCAGTAAACTGATTGACCAAATGATGATTATAACCATTTATAGCAAGTAAGCTGGCTGGCGATACGATGCCGATCTGTTCATTCACCTTTTTGCTTTTTGGTCGCGCCCGCAGATGTATGCAGCCGAAGCCAGGGTTGATCCCACCAAATCATCCATTGGTTTTATCAGCGATCCAGTCCAAATCACAATCAACTACTGCATCTTCTAACGTACGGAAGATGTGGCCTCACTTCCGTAGATTGCTGATATTCCCATCGTCCCATCGAGATTGGAATGCAAAGCCTTACGTATTAGTTGTAATTACCAAAAAAACAAAGAAAAAAAAAAAAAAAAAAAAAAAAAAAAAAAAGCAAGCTGTAGCTCTTGCAGCTGCTTAGGTCTAGCTCATGGAAGATCCAGAGCTCAGCTCTCCTTCTCCCTCTTTCCCTCTTTCTCTTACTGGTGAGAAACACTGGATAGTATCTCTGTCTCACACACGCACCAAGCTGGATCGGTACACCGTCACATCCCCCACTGGCGGGGACATCTTTATAATGGAGCCCTTGCCCGGGTTTCAGTAGGAAAATTAGGATACGTACTATCTATACACCGAATTGCAAAACCGGGGAGGAAGGGGAAATATCTAGACTAACCGTGAATGAATCAGTGATTAAATTCCAATACTTAGCTTTCCACCATGACTCGGCCAGGTTTAGTGTCCTTGGACTAGTAATGTAGACAAGACATGAGAGTCCTCGGAACCGACCCACTCGGTGTGGTGCATCCCATCCCACTTGGAGCTGCATCGCGGACTGGACAATCATGCTAATTTCGACGGGACCGTTTTTCTCCCTTTCTTCTCTCGTTGGATCGCTCTTCCTATCATTGGCTGAGAAAAATCCCTCGTGCTAATTGAATCTGAACGCGATCCGTCCACCGTGTGTGTTCCCGTCGATACATCATGCAGTAGTGGAGAGGAGAAGGGGGAAAATGAAAAATAAAAAAAAAAATGAAAAAGCATGGGGCTTCCGCCGCACCTTCAACTTGTTCCTCTCCCTCTCCATATCCACTGGATAATATCCTGCCACCCGGAACACAGGTACTGGTGGTAGATGGTGGATCCGATAGGAGGTCGATACTGCGTGTTCTGTAGGGAGTGAGGAGGAGGAGTGTAAACTGTGTGTAACTAGCAGTAACTGGTATGGTGTCGAGTTAGCTCCTGCAGGCCATTTCACTCCCCTTCTTCTGCCCCCAACTTTTAGTTAGCCTAGCCTCGTCGCGTGGGAAATTCAAAGCTCCAAATCTCTGTGTGTGGATGTTCGCGTTCGTACTACCCTGGGTGGAACAAATCCTGGCAAGCGACAATAGCCCCATTGCGAGACATTTGTTTGCCCAACAAGATGAGACGCTATCTTAGCTCTCCGTAAGTCACTACTAAGTACTGACAAGTCGGTTCGATGGAGCAAGCAGCTTGCTAGGTATGCCCATGGAGCATGCTGGTTATCAGCGGATCTCCGCAAATCAACATCCGGGCTATGCGTTTGACATGGGCCAGGGTGGCTGTCAATCCATTAACCCTCCCTACCTTCCTTTGCCCACTGCACTAATACCCAGTCAGCTACACAGTAGTAGTACTCCGTACCCTCCTCTAAATCGTAGTTAGGTCCGCCAACCTAATACCTTTACGACCGAGGTCCGGTGCAGCTGTTCATGGGAAACCCACGTCATTGCAACCTTTTAGCGCACTGGTGGATATCGCCTTTCGTTCAGTCGCGACAAGCCGGAAGACATCGCTAGCCCGTCCGCATAATAGCAGAAGTGTTTGTTGCAATAATACACACCCGAGTGGTCGCCAGGTAATAGTAGCGCTGCAGATGATTACCCTGCTTTCTGAGATACCAATGATGGACATGCTCGGCAGAGCAATGACCGCCAGACGGCTTGAGTGTTACTTGACTTGCACCCTATAGTTGCTTGTTTAAAGCGCTTGGGGGTACGAGAGGGCGGCGACCGACTCGGCCTGGCCTGCTGCTGCTGCTCCTTCTCAATCAGCTCCAGAAACAATATGAGGTTTGATAACTTTCAATATCCGTTCGCCCTTGAAGTTTGGACCCTGCTGACCTTGCCCCCCACCACGGGACAATTCGAGTCTCTGACACCCAAATGGAGGTATGTGCATCGAGGAAAGTTGCCTCCATCGCAGACTAAGGAAAAGGCTCCGGAGGTCAAGAGGTTAGGAAAGAAACGGAGAGTCATTTCTTCATCTGATCGCAGGCTTCAGGACACATCCAAGTAAGGGGCCTTCAAAGACAGATGCTACCTTTCTGAGGGTCAAGAATAGAGCCCGTTGGCTAGAAGCACCGTCCTTACCAGCAGGTGGTCCAGACAATAAAAAGTAGTATGTAAGTATAAATGAAGGACCATGTAGCACCTTCCATTATTGGCGCGGGGAGCTGTTTTGATAACATCATACATATCTTAGTATGATAGTAGGTAGTGGTAGCATATGCTGAATACTAGCATCGGTGCCACCGAGAGGGCATCCAGCCCACCTACCCAACTAAGTAATAGCAGTGGCTGTATTTCCCGTCTGGTTTAGTGGCACTTGAACTACTACTAGCGACCCTCAGCCCCTCAACGATTGTCATAAAAGACTCTGCAGGATCGCATGAGATTAAGCAGACACTACATGGCCAGCTGTAGGCAGACAAGATATATGCTTGGCATAAGAGTGTGCGCGCGCCCCAGAAATGGGGTCATAGATGGAGAAGGAGGCCACCGTGAAATGCAACCAACGACTGGTGGATGCTTCCCCCCCTTTGAAGGGGGTCAAGAGGGTTCCAAGTTGGCCGCTAACCACAGTATTCGCTCTGGTGCAGTCCATTTAATTGATTTACTTCACCTGTGTGTGTTGTTTTGGATGGATGATTTACTTTTCTTGGGGGGAAATGTTACCCCTCATGCGGGTAGCATGACCCTTGAGTAACTTACAAAGTAAGTGATGGGCTCTAACTAACTAGTTAACGATCAGTCCATCACTAATCAGAGTCATACTTGAAGATGATGGTGGCTCCGCCCTGCCACGCTGGTGAGGAGCCGCCACACGAAGCTCCGGCCAAGGTTCTAGTTTTACTCCATACATACTAAATCACTAACTACTTTGTAATAGGTATTATTCGGAACCGTAATAGTATTGATAATACGCCAGACATCCAACTCCTAGGTTACCTACTACTGACTAACTTACTATACTATAATATTGTACTATACTCGATACTAGTCGAACATCCGACCACTCGTGCTTCGAGCCAGTGAGCCACCCAAGCCATCGGTCCCCTCCCCCCATCCATGATGTGCGGGGACCGAGGGTTGGATTGAGGCTGTGCGGCATCTGCAGTGTTGTGATCCGAAAAATTAAGGTCGTTCCGGAGTCAGTGACTAATCGCATCCTCGATACGGACCACGGCGATGACACAAAACGTCATGTTTTTGAGGAGGGGGGAAGGGAAAAGAGAATGTGCGAGACCAAGCGAGACCAAGCGCTGAGACTGGTCGCGAGGCGGACGTCATCCGACTGATTTTCGTGTAGCAAAATGAGGGGGAAAGTCAAGCTGGTTTAGAAGAAAAGAGAAAGGGAGAGTGACAATCTGTAATCCCATCGGCTCTGGGACCCATTCACGTCGAAAAGGCAAAGTTGACAGTGAGTGGTTGCGCGTAAATGACGACGGGACAACGAAGCAGTCGACTGGACATCGGCATCGCTAGCAAAAAAGCAAGACGGAGGAAGTGCTTAGTAGCTGATGAATGTGAACGCGGAAGCAGCCCCAGTAACGGAGTATTAGCTCCAAGGATCTTCCGAAATAATCTTACATCTTACAGCGGATGGAGACTTGGTCTTGCAGGACAGGAGAGCCCTGTCTTTTTTAAATTAAAAAGCAGGTAAGTTGTCAGTCACTTTGACTAGTACTGCTGGAGCAGAGACGCCCGCGCCACTGTTGTATTGTGACGGATTTACGGATTAAGCACTACGTAGAATACTACTTGCTGCCCACATAACCAGGTACCCTGGTCACAGCTATTCTTCCACGCACAAATCTACTAGTTATTAGGATGTTAATTTAGAGGAGCAAGTGTTGGTCTAAAGAAATGCTTCATATGAAGTCATCAATCAATGAAGCCGATCAAATACAACTTGAATCGCAACCAAATACCTACATCGGAGACCAAAGTAGAATATTGTTCAGTGGGAAACAAGTGTGGCTGCAACTGTATGATACCATACCGTTACAGTAACAGGAAGCCAATGCAGACCTGCGAACGGGAGGCGGTAGCGAGAGCCTTCTTCACCTTGATTTCATAATAATCGGTATTACTCGATGCTGACCCAAGCACGGGATTCCACTGGGGGAAGCACAAAAGGAGAGAAAGACGGCCAACTGATTAGATCAAAGACTTGAGGGGGTGAGAGAGAGAGAGAGAGACAGAGAGAGGGGGCTATCCTTTCTTCCACATGCGGTAACAACGGGAAAGTCCCTCATCTTTTGTAACCTCAATCAGAGGCTTGTATCCATTCAAGGTCAACGCAGGTTCCTACAATTTGAAGATTATTAATAATATGATCATAATTATAATTAAAAAAAATGCAGAATAATAAAATCATTCCATCCATCGAATGGGGGAAATAATTAAAAACGACCTGTGGTTCCTTTAGGTAGTTGGAAGGAGAAAGAAGAGGGGACTGACTACTAACTAAGCAAGCCCACCCCCCCATAATGTGCTCCTCAGCTAACTATTGCTTGGTTACTTCGACCACTGCCTCCATCATCCAGAGTCTCATACTTCAGGTTAGGTTACCTGCCCGGCACCAACCTGCGACGCCCGCGGCGTACTACGGTACCAGTTAGGGTATTTCAACCTGGGCACCCCCGGTGGACTAGGCTGAGCCCTCTTCCCTCACTCTTCCCTATTTTCTTACGAGAGCCTTTCCCCCGGGGTAATTTTCATCAGCACAACAGCTGTTTTCCCTCCTGACTTTAGTGGAATTCGCAAGGCAACGAGCCAAGTCTTCTCTTAAGGACCCTAGTCTTGTCTGTACCGTTCCATCTGGGCATTCCCGTGCCTTGTTGCGCCGTGCTTCAATTTTTTTTTTCTTTAAACTGAATTTTTCTTTTTTTATTATTATTATTTCTTTTTCTGAATTTTTTTTTCCGCTGGTTCATTTTCCCTTTTCAATTTTGCCCACCCTTTGACTAAACAAAACGGAGGGGAAGGGAAAAAAAAAGGAAAAAAAAAAAAAAAAAGTCTTATTGTAATTTCCACAACCCAAAGTCACTTTCGTCACTCTAGAAGAACACGACCCCGTCGCCTCAGGCCACCACCACGACCGACTGGGGCCACCGCAACTTTTTTCTCTCTTCCTCTCCCCCCGTTCCTCCCAACTTTCTTCTTCATCTCTCAATTTCTTTTCCATAGCCATTGTCGTTGGCCTTTGCAGCTTCGTGCTGTAGGCTTTTAATTTTCTCCCACCTTGTCACGGGGGGCATTCTTGTGCCTCTTTACCTCCGTGTACTTTTCATTTCTCACTACCGCACATGACTCCACAATCTGCTTCACCAGTACCTTCCGCAGTCTCCTCCACCACAGCGTCACAGATCTCCTATGATTCCCGAGATGGAGAGCCCCAGGTAACACGTGCTTTAGCGGGCATGAATCTGTCCGCCGCGAACGGGGACGTCCTCCCCGTTCCTCCCACCCCCGCAAAGATCGCTAGACCTACCATGGCCAATCGCATCTCTCGCATGTTCTCCAATACTGGGAAGTCGACTCCGAAAGAGCAGGAATCGCATCGCGACTTCTCAGACAGCAGTACAGAAAGCATCAAAGCTCCCTCGAACGCCAGCATCAAACAATCCAAGCCCACCTCTAAGCCCTCCTCCAAGCCCAACTCCAAGCCATCCTCCAGAGCCCCCTCGCGACAGGCATCTACGAAAGAGGAGGCCGAGAAGAAGCCAAAGTCCAGCAATGGCAAAGATAATAAAGAAGCTGCCCCCGTTCACAAACGCTTCGAGTTGCCCGGAGATGGCACTCATAATCATCACCTCCGCAGCGCAAGACGACAGGAGAAGCTGACGGATCTACTACGTGACATGCTGGGCGGTGGCAGGAAGAAGGATGATCACGTGGACGAGCAACAACTATCACTTATGTCTACATGGATCGACCAGTTTAAAAACGAACGGGATAAGCTAGCCGCCGACAAGAAGGGCGGCCCCAACGCCACCGCTTCGCTGGTTGACAAATACGGAAAATGCCAGGAAATCGTTGGCCGTGGCGCCTTCGGTATTGTTCGGATATCCCACAAGGTGGACCCGAGAGACTCGAAAGTTGAACAGCTGTATGCCGTGAAAGAGTTCCGTCGTCGGCCACAGGAGACGACGAAGAAGTATCAGAAGCGATTAACCTCGGAGTTTTGCATTTCCTCTTCCCTTCGCCACCCCAACGTCATTCACACCCTTGATCTTCTACAGGATGCCAAAGGTGACTACTGTGAGGTGATGGAGTACTGCGCTGGAGGCGATCTCTATACCCTCGTGTTGGCGGCCGGAAAATTGGAGGTCGCCGAGGCGGATTGCTTTTTCAAGCAGCTTATGCGTGGCGTGGAATACATGCACGAAATGGGTGTTGCCCACCGTGACCTGAAGCCTGAGAACCTGTTATTGACCACCCACGGAGCTCTCAAAATTACAGATTTCGGAAATGGTGAATGCTTCCGCATGGCATGGGAAAAGGAAGCTCACATGACTGCGGGCCTCTGTGGTTCAGCCCCTTACATCGCCCCGGAGGAATACGTCGAGAAGGAATTCGACCCTCGAGCGGTGGACGTATGGGCGACGGGCGTTATTTACATGGCCATGAGGACTGGACGCCATCTCTGGCGTGTGGCCCGCAAGGATGAGGATGAATTTTACCAACGCTATCTGGAGGGTCGTAAGCATGAGGATGGTTACGCTCCCATTGAAACTCTGCATCGGGTAAGTGTTGAGCGAACCCCTCGCTTCAAGTTGACACTGGCTCACAATGTCTCCCAGGCGCGTTGCCGAAACGTGATCTACTCTATTCTGGATCCCAATCCTTCCCGCCGTATCAACGCCTCGCAAGTCTTGAAATCCGAGTGGGTTCGTGAGATCAAGCTGTGCAAGGCTGGCGAGGAAGGATACTGATACATGGTCTCGACGGATTGATCGGACGTTGTTCCGGGCTGTGTATCCCTGATGGTGGTCTGCCTGTTTCTGTTTGTCTGCCTCTGGCGACTGCTTAAAACCATTAACCCGGGTGGTTTATGTGTTTCTCCCGGTCCTTTTGGGAGGGTTGTTTATTTTTTTATTCCCGGTCCTTCTGAGCTGTTTTATAGAAGGAGGCACCTTGATTTTACACTACTATACCGGCGCATGTTTTCTGTCTTTCATCTTCTTTTTCATCTGCCTACTAGCTTATGGGCTTAGTTTGGTCGTCATGTTTTCATGCCAATGCAACGAAGAGTCATGACCTATGAGCCACCTTTTCATTCCTCCCACATTTTCTTTTTTTTTGTTCGCCATGGTTTTCTACGTTCGATACCTTTTCTTTCGCATTTCATGCATCTCAGGCATTCTTTGATTGGTCTCATTCCCTATATGCGTTTTTAATGGGTCTTGTCAGTGGCTGAATGACAAACACCGACAGGGAAATTTTCCCTTTCTGCCCGGGTTATGTTGATCATGCTGGCCGGCTTCCACCTTTTTGGGTCTGGGCGCGCATATATTCATCCTCATGGGACGGTGTTGGAGCATTATGGGTTTTGTGAGATGTAGCATCGGGAGGTTGTATTAGTATGGGCGGTGTGATTTATCTTGGGATACCCATTTGCAGCACATATTCCAGTATAACTATGAGCATCCGCATCATATCTACGAATCAAACCTGCGCATTATTTGAGTTTAAAGCATCATTTTTGGGGAGACGTTTTTGGATGAGCCGGCGGCGGTCAGGTGAGTTGGCCTGACGCCGCAGGAGCAGGAAGTATTGCTCGATGGTTCCTTCCTCACCCCATCGTATATGATATTACCCACCCATCAGCCTTTCTATCCCCCTAAATCTCCCTATGACTACCCCCGGAGTAGACAGACTCATGACTCGACCTTACTAGCAGACCTCTGGTTCAAACCTAGTCCCGGTACTATCATCTATGTCGTTGCTGCAGCACCTCTTGAGTGACCCAGGAGCAGATGGTTCCAGGAGCTCTATGACCGGCTGGAGTACAGTTGGCAGCGTCCACTTGGCCTTGGAAGTATGGGGCTTCCCACACTAAACAGACTTTTTCCCCCTCCCAGTCGGTCGGTCGATACCTGATGATGACTCTTGAGTGCGTCTCGACAGTCGTTGGCTGCCCCCTATTCTACTTGCTGCTGACGCCACGTCTAGTCGACGTCTAGGGTGAATAAGATGCTACATTTTCCGATCATATTAGCATGCAAGCGACGGGCCCTGTGCAAGGTAGGCCAGCTTCTGACTATCCCTTTTCAACAGCTGGAAATTGTTACACGCCGACGTCTGCAATAGGGCCAACCTTCTTCCAGCAGCCGAAGAAAAATTCTCACACCAGGATGGTGAAAGGTGTGGATCCGTCCAATAATGTTTGCATGAGGAACTTCTGAGTCGAAAGTACAACTAGCATAGCGGCCGATGCGTGAGCGACTTCTTACTATTGTCTTGGGCCCATACTTCTATCGATGCCAAGATTTCCTAGGCAGCCAAGAGGCACAGCATTCTCCAATCCTCAACACTCCATGCCAATGGATAAGAGAATCGGTCTGGAGGTCTGGAAGACTCCAATTAATGTACCTAGGTACGCCTGAGAAGGTGTATGCATCAGATGCATCAGGTGCCTCAGGTAGGCCGGCTACCCAATCAATAAGGGTCATCATAACGAAACATGGGCCGTACGGAGCTGCAAACGGAGGGGACGCCGGACGCGAGCCAGATCAAGCTTGCTTGGCGCATCATGCAGCCCCAAAAAGGAACGCGAGCCCGTAGTTCAATAGGAGCCAATCCTCGGAGGAAGGCTAGCTTGCTGAAACCCTGGCCTGGTGGAGCTCGAACAGCTCAGCAGTGCTCAGCAGGTGAGTCTGGTCTGTTGGAATGGATAGGTATTGTGTGTCCACTAGCTTTGTGATTGTTTTGTTCGCTGGACGACAACCACAACACTGCATATCTATGTTGAAGCACTTTCCCTTTCTATTATGTATCATTACTAATTCTCCTGACCGTCTTCAACCCAACACAAGCATGCATGATTCATCCCCCTTTGTTCGAGCCACTGCCCGATCCCGTTGTGGAATGCCGCCCTCGGCAGTCTGGCCAGCCCTATGCAGTTGTCCTCGCCCAGAAGGATCACGTCGTGCAACCCGGACAGGCAGCACCATTTTTTACCTAAGCCGAGACTAATTATGGGCAATCCAGGGCCGCCAACGACCACGACCCTGAAGGTAAGGGACACCCACCTGAAGGCCGATTGGAAATCAGGTGGATGTCAGCCATGCAAGGCTGGCCATACTAGCCTCATCGAGTAGGATTTGGGTCTGGATCCCAAACTAAGGGAGGTGCCGATGTCGGTTATACTTGGCAAATTGTCTTTCATTGCGAAGTCAATTTAGTGCCCTCGTTCTTGTATACCATCAACACCTTCCTTTTGAATCTTCAAGTGCCGGACGGTTTGTCCATTGAAGTTGCTGCTAGATGTGTTTTACAAGAAAATTGATTCCTTCGGTACACTAATGCACTATCTTCAGGAATGCTGGAGCGATGAATACCAGACTTGCCCCGTCACTGGTACACTTTGCGGTCTTTAAAGGACGGATCCCGACAAACGCGGATAAACACGGATCGCTTCGCATGAATAAGATGCTCATCCTAGTATACTATAGCCGCGGCATAAGAAGCATCGAGCTGCAGGTGATATTGAATAGTGTGCGCTTGCCTAAGGGGTATTGGGAGCGTGAAGAATGTTTGTGCGACCACAATCATCGAGATCAGGGTTGCATGTACCCCATACTTTCGCTTACAACTTTTACTGTCACTTGACAGAATCTCGAATGCACTCCAGATAAATGCAACACTATTACATGAAGTTTAATGCCATCGCATGAAGTGCATTATGCGGCATGAAGATGGTGTAGGATACATTCTGATTGCCTCATAGGGCAACAGGACATCGAAACTCTGATGTATCTTGTGTCACATCGTGATGGTCGCTCGATCTGGCTGGCATCATGACGTCTCCAGCTACATCCAAAGTCATACTCAGGCACAAGGCAAACCGAACCCACCCCCTTCCTCTTTGACATCACCATCCCCATCTGCCTGGAGAAGTCTCGGATGGCAGGCTGCCAGATTCCATTAATCACACGTAGAGGAGGGGCCGGCCTTATGACGTCAGAAACGAGCAGAACCGGCAGTCGGAAGTTCAAAACGGCTGGTTCGTAAATTCTTGCGGGTAATTAATTTTACACTTTCCATTTCGTAGGGCTGTAAGTTAAAACAACCGAACAGTAAGATTTAGTAAATAATCATGACACAGCCACGGGATCCAAGCAGAGAAGTGCACAGCCACAGCCACGCCAATCAATCAATCAATCGAACGTCTCCGAACATCATTCCGTCCCGCATCGGGCATCTTGCTTTCTGAGGGCCTTTCGCATTCATTCAATCAACCCTGTGTCTATTCTCCTTCCCCCTCTCCTCACATTATACGTCTACTATATCCCAATAATCCACTTTGTCCTCCACCTACGGAGTTACCGGTTCTTTGATTTCGAACATACACACCCCACCCCCTAACTGGTTACCGGACCCCCCCGACCGACCGCTACTGAAGTCGCCATCATGTCCTGGGCAGGTGCGCTGAATACTCCCCGTTCCTACCTATCGATGGATTCTGCGCCGTACAGGCACCCATCCCTACCTGAATTGTCATTCTGACCGGGTCTACAGGGTTCAAGAAAAATGTCAACCGCGCTACCACGCAGGTGATGATGAAGACGGGTATGTTGGATCACAACCCCGCTCGAGTCGGGGACGAATACCTCTACGACATATTGCTTGGTGGTATTGCAAGGAATATACTGACGCATTGGCTTGGGTTAAACAGGACATGTGGAGCGCACAAGTGATCGCGATTATGAGATTGAAGAGCGGTATGGATTGTCCGACTGATTGGAAAGGGGAGGCAACTTGTTTGACTGACATGGACACGATGCGATATAGTCGGTACCGGACGATGGAAGCCGCCGCAAATCGGTTACAGAAAGAGGCAAAGGGATACTTGGATTCGCTACGAGGTGTGTTTGATGTTCCGGTCGCAATATTGGGTATGATGCGGAGGCGGATGCTGACGTTGGATGGTGATGGATAGCTATGACTGCCTCGCAGATGCGGATCGCCGAGACTATTGATGCCTTCTATGGTGATGCCGGGACCAACGACGGAGTGAGTCGGAGTTATAAGCAGGCTGTGGAGGATCTGGATGCGGAAACGATCAAGGCGCTGGACGGCCCGTACCGGTACGTTTTGGAGTCATTGCTATGGACGCCCTTTTGGGCGTGGCGACTCATTGGTTGACTGGTATTTTATAGCTCGACTGTGTTGGAACCCATCTCTCGGTTCTGTGCCTACTTCCCGGATATCAACGAATGCATTAAGAAGCGCAACCACAAGTTACTCGATTACGATTCGATGCGCGCCAAGGTCAAGAAGCTGGTTGAAAAGCCCGATAAGGATGCGACGAAACTGCCCCGGACGGAGCGCGAGACGGAAATCGCCAAGCAAGCGTATGAGCAATTGAACGAACAGCTCTTCACTGAACTGCCTCAGCTCATCGACCTGCGGGTGCCGTACCTGGATCCTAGCTTCGAGGCCCTGGTGAAGATTCAACTGCGGTTCTGCGCGGAGGCATACTCGCGCATGGCGCAGGTGCAACAGTACTTGGATGCGGAGACGAGGGATCAGTATGCTCGGGGAGACCTGGACAACCGGGTGGAAGAGGTGTTGCAGGAGATTCGGGATTTGAGCATAGCAGGCACGGTCTGATAGTTCATGGTACTTTGGAGTGGAGTTCAAAGTCTTTGCTTGTCTGTTTTCTTTAATTGCGTGCGATGATAGCCGCTTTAATCATTCTGCATCCAAGCCTTGGTATCATTGTTAACACTGTTTCTTTGAGAGCGTTCTTGAGTCGAATCCATATGCACGTAGATGAAAGCGTAGACTGCAGAGGGGAAAAGCAAGTCTAATAATATAAGGGTATCTCTAAGCCATCTCTATCCGATCTATCTATAATTACACAATAAGTAATATCACTCCGCACCATCCCTATACAACTCATCCACCAACACCTCCAAAACCGGCCCCGCGGCAGCCCTCACAGCCTTCAATTCCTGCTCACTCATCTCCGACAGGACATACTTCGCAACACCCCCTCGATCCCTCGTCTCGGGCCTCCCAATCCCCACCCCAATCCTCAAGACCGACAAATCCACCCCGGCCCCAAGTACATTCTTCTTCGGATTGGGAGGATACATCCCCTTGCCCCTCAAACTCTCAAACGAACTAATCAAGCCCCGATGTCCCCTCAAACTCGCCTTCTCGGGCCCACCTCTCTTCACCCGGACTTTTCCCAGCGGCGCCTCCAATTCATCATGGAGGATGACTAGTGTCGGGGAGAAGTTTCGGAGGGTTGTCGGATCAGCGCCCCGGAGATGCCATTCTGCTGCTGCTGTAGCGTCTGTTTCTGGGTTTGTGGAGAGTACATTCCCCGGCTGCACGATCTTCTGGTATATTTCGGTTTGGGTGGACGAGAGCCACGATTGGAAGTTGCGGAGGAGTTTGGGTCCCGATTCGTTCATGTATGATGGGCTCGTGTAGGTTTTGTAGAATAAAGGGTTGATTATGTTGCCATTGTTGGGAGAGGTGCCCACGAGAGGGACTCGGCGTGGGAGAAGTGGCGTCAGGGCTTCGAGGAGGATGTGGCCGGCGCTGTGTCGCGTCGTGCGGTATGGGCGTGGATTGCCGATTGAGGCGATGAAGAGGAAGCGTCGGGGGGTTTTGAGGGGGGGAGGGGTGGACATTGAGGGTGAAGGTGTGGGAGAGGTGGTGTTGAGGTTGTGGTTGAGGGGGAGGGTTGTGGTGGTGGAGGAGGATTTTGCGGATGGTTGGTGATGATGTCCTTGTTCCTGTTCCTGTTCCGTGGTTTGGGCGCTGTGCAGCACTACTGCTTCATGCATCGACGGGAACTTGCTTTTGTTTCGCTTTGCTTTGCTGTTTCCACTTGATTGGGATGAATTGATGTCCATGGCATATATATTTACACAGAGATTTATTTCTGGGATCATCATTTTTACTGGTGTGGGTTTGGGGTTCTTTCTTATACTATACTGACTGCTACTCATTTCATCATCGCAGAACTGTATACTTCCTCTTCTTACCTCTATCAACAGGACCACCCGGTATACTTGCATGCTTATCCCGCTGAGTTGACTCACTTTCTGACTCACATATCTAACTGTTAATAATTAACTAATAGCAGAAGCTGCTACCTATGGATCACATGTGGAGAAATGCTCGACCAAATACCATACAAACCCTTGTCCCTGCAGCCTCAGCGTCAGGCTGTGCCAGACGCCACACTGCACTAAAAACAGAACTCACAAGGCCACAACTACAAGATGACCGCCAGAACTGTCCCTCTAGCCTATCAGCCTAAGCGTCTCGTCTCTTACCCCGACACTCCCAGACTAAGCCAGACGATCGGGCCAAAATCGACCCAGGACTAGGGAACGACCACCCCGGCTGCCACAAAACGGGGAAATGAAAGGACCGCTGGCTGCATGGCGTCTCGTGTGCTTTGTCTAGTCGCACTGCAGTTGGTTTCCCAGAAACTGGCCCGTTCCCGTCGATCAGAACGGGGCCTTCCAGTCTGCCTCTGCATCGATGGGTCTAGAGACTTCTCTCGGCCTCTCAGCATGCGCGGTGCATGAACTAGTCCAGCGGCCTTGGGTCGCCTATCACAGTCTCGGTGCTGATCAACTGTCTATCCAAGCTGGCATAGCTTCTATGCCATCTTTCCATTCTTTTCTCCGGCGTTTTACTCTTCCTCTTCCTCACTGTCCACAGCCCACCTGGTCGAGTTCCTCTCTCTAGGCCAGCCAATGTACTATATTCCGACCATCCGGGGTCCGTCGTCCAATTTCTCGTGCTCCCCAAGCCGTTGAGAAACCTCCGTGTTTGTCCCTCCAGCACTACTTGGACCAACTGCGTCATTCTCGGCATCTTCCGCCATCTTTGCTTTTTCTTCCTCCCTGTGGTCTTGGGCTGGAACAGAAACGATGAACTATTCACCTCCTACGTGTCAGTGAAGCTCGCTATTAGCACTCGTGGCACATGTTTTGACGGCCTCGTATGATCCTGATTGTGGTTGCACCTTGAGAGTTGCTACAGAAAGTGCTGCCCTAAGCTTGATCGGGCCTGACGTCGGCCTCTGTCTTCAAGAGAAGCTTCTCTATAAACCCGAGCACGCCACACCCTTCACCGAACACCCCTCTCAACTTCGTCATGTCATGGAGGCAAAAGATCTCCAGCCGTTGGGCCACAACGAGCCAATCGTCGAGCCCGACGAGAATGAGAATGCGCAGAAGCAATCATGGACGAAGTCTCCGGATCCCGAGTCCAACTCCGAGTCAGATGCAGACTCGGACGAAGCATCCATGTATGCAATGCCTTTATTGGTATCCTGCAATGCCAACCCCCAGTGGAGTTGCTAACCATACACCACCACCAGCAACTCGTGTGAGACACACCAGCTCGACATCTACGAAGAGAATAACCGTCGCTACCCCAACGATTCATACCACATGCCGAACGATGAACCCGAACGAACCCGTCTGAACATCGTCCACCAGATCTACCTCATCCTCCTAGACGGGCAGTTAACCGCCGCCCCCATAGTTACCAATGCGCCTCGCGTCCTCGACATCGGCACCGGTCCCGGTGACTGGGCCATTGAAATGAGCCACGCCTACCCCCACGGCACCATCATTGCTTCTGACATCGGCGTCTTCGACAACGCCCTCGGCCATGTCGACCTCCCTAACCTCTCCTTCCACCTCGACGACGCCCGCGACGAATGGGCCTACGACATCCCCTTCGACCTCATCCACCTCCGCGGCCTCTCTGGTGCCTTCCCCGACTGGTCCTTTATCTACCAGCAAGCCTTTGACCACCTCGCTCCCGGCGGTTACCTCGAAGTCGCAGATACCGACTTCGCCGCTGAAACCATGATATCCCTCCCGCCGAATTCCTACCTACGTCTCTTTGCCTCCGCCCTCCGCTCCGCAGACTACTCGGCAGGTTACCTGCGCGATCTGAGCCATCTCCAGCCCGCGCTCTTCCGTGCTCAGGGGTTCATCGATATTGATGTCCGCGAGTACACGTTCCCCATCGGTCTGTGGCCCGAGTCGCCGCATGACCGGACCGTCGGCAAAATGGGCCTCATTGCATTATTGGAGGGCCTGGAATCATATAGTTTGCGTGCCCTGACCACTACGTATGGCTGGGTGGCGGAGGAAGTTCGCGAACTATGTGACCAGGTGCGTGCGGAAATCTTGCAAGGCGTGTATCGCATTAGTGCGAGGGTGAAGATCGTAACGGGGCGGAAGCCATTGACGTGAGCAGATATGTGGAAATCCACTTCCTTCCTTCCTTCCTTCCTTCTTCTTCTTCTTGTTCTGTTGATGACCTTATGATTATGATTCCATTATCACTTATACCATACCGTGGATCGGTATGGACTTTGATCAGGGTTTATCTTGAAGATATAACCTCCAATGGAGATAGTTCAGACTTTTTGTATCTATTCTCTCGCACAGACCATATAGATGTGATATCTCCAACGTACATACAACAATAGAAAGCAAGTGAACAAACAACAGAAGAGACCTTTTTTATCCTAACGCCCCGAACCCAATGCAGTCGAGCACAACATCAACAGGCTAGACAAAACAAAACAAAGACAACAGCGGGCAGTTACCAAACAAGTATGAAGCAAAGAAGAAACTACAACTGGAACTTCGTCCTCGTCTTCTCCATTTGCCCCTTCCACTCCCACTCCTGTCCACTAGCTCTTTGGATCCCCTTATCAACTCTGCGCAACTTCAACGTAAACCGGGGTCCCAATTCCTGCATACCCGCTCTAATCCCCTCCGCGCCCTTCATCTCCTTTCCATCGGCACCCACAACCGCCTTCTCCGTCTCCCTCTTCTCCCGGAACACATACCGATGACGACGGAAGAACAAGTAATCACGACTATTCAACACCGTCACGACCTGCCGGCCCTCGATATCAGGCTGCGGCGGGAACAAAGTCCGGAACAAATGCGCCGTCAACAGACCCAGCGGCGTGCGGAAGTTATTCAGAATCAGCTCGGGCCAGTGGTCCGTAGCGCGTCCGTGACCCGGGATGCGCTTGCCCTCGACCCAGTTCGTCATGGAGAAGTGGAACATGGGTCCCGTGGGGAGATGCACGATGTCCAGACCGGCGGGCTTCTTCTGGTCTTCGCGGAGGATCACCACCGCCGTGAAGTTGCGGTTCGTGGCGAACTTGGAGATCTCGCGGATGGAGAACTGGTGCGCGAAGCGGTGGCGCGTGCGGCGGACGTAGACGGAGTTGGGGAACAGGTCGGTGAGGAGCTCGGCTTCGTGGTGAAGGGACGAGTTGAGGGACGTCGTGATGAGGATCTTAGGGGACTTGGGGTTCTCGGTGCTGAAGAGGGAGGGAAATTTGGACGCTAGGGCTTCGGGGACGAGATTTAGGTTGGTGCTCTTGGTCGATTGGGAGGGGCTGGTGGCGCGCTCTGTGGCTGTGGGGAGGGATGATTTGCTGCGGCCGCGAGTCGAGTCGGAGGAGGATTTCGATTTCTTCTTGCCGGAGGATGAGTCTTCGTCTTCGTCGTCGTCGTCGTCGTCGTCGTCGGAGGCGCCTTCGTCTTCCTCGTCACTGCTGGCGAGCATGCTGTCCACGTCGTCGTCCTCGTCATCCTCTGATCCTTCTTCTTCTTCAGCGTCGGAGGATTGATCGTCCTCGTTCAGGGGCCGGTTCAGCTCTTCCTCTTCCTCCTGCTTGCGCCGCTTGATGCGCTCGACGTCCACGCTCAATCCCAGACCGTCCTCGACGTCGCTGCCGGCGTCATCCCAGACTCGCTTGCGGTCGATGGTCAGGGGAATGTTGCGCTTCAGACGCTCTTCCTTCAGCTTGGGGTTCTTGGCCTCTTCCTTCTTGAAAGCATATCGTTCGGCACGGCGAGAAGAGTCCTTGGCGCGCTTGCGCTTGATATGGAGGAGTTTGCGCTGGATCTTGTTGCGGGGCTTTGCGTCGAGACCGACGCCCGGAGGCGGCCGGTGGGAAGCTTTCTTCGAAACCATCGTTTGCTGGAATTGGGGTGAACGATGGAGGGGTAGGAAGTAGTTGAGTCGAAGCAAATGAAGATATCAATATTGGATTACCCGTTTGGGCTATCCAAAAAAATCTGGCGGATCAAGTGTTCATCCGGCGGTGAGAAAAGGCCTGCTGAGTCATCCAGGGCGCGGCTCGATTGGGAAATGAAGGGAAGTTCAGCTTTCTCGCGATCGGCCAGGAATTGGATTCCTTTTCGTGATTATTTGGCGGAAGAAGGAGGGTAATTCGCCGGAAGAGAATCAAGGCCATTACAGCCCCGCATAAGTCCCTTGTCTCCGCATTCCTTATCGACGGTAAACTTGTGGATTGGTGGAGAGTTGAACAAAAGGGCAGGCGGATGAGTCACTGCAGCAGCGCTCAGCGGCTGGTCGGCCTGAGGTGTCGGCGGGCATTGGGTCCCTCTTTTCGGTCTTTTTGTCCCCGCCATCCCAATCGTCTTCTTCATCGCCAACTTCTGGCTTTTCGTCTTCCCCCCACTTGCGCCAGCTCCTCTTCCTCCTCCTTTATTCTTCCTCCCCGTTCCTTTTCCACCTCCCTCCCCCGTACGCGACATCATCTCCCTCAGCCGTCCTCCAAAAAGAAGTCCACCAAAATGGCTTCCCTCTCCACCAAGACCGGCCAGGTCGTCGACCGGTCCGTCTTGGACTCTATGCTGCGCCGCCGTCTCTTCTATACCCCTTCCTTCGAGATCTACGGTGGTGTCTCCGGCCTCTACGACTATGGCCCGCCCGGTTGCGCCGTCCTGAACAACATTGTCGATCTGTGGCGCAAGCACTTCGTCCTGGAGGAGGACATGCTCGAGGTCGACTGCACCATGCTCACCCCGCACGAGATCCTGAAGACCAGTGGTCACGTCGACAAGTTCGCCGACTGGATGTGCAAGGACCCCAAGACCGGCGAGATCTTCCGCGCCGACCACCTGGTCGAGGAGGTGCTCGAGGCCCGCCTGAAGGGTGACAAGGAGGCCCGTGGCCAAAAGGTTGAGGTGGACGAGGAGAAGGAGGCCAAGAAGAAGAAGAAGGTCAAGCAGACCAAGGCGGTTAAGCTGGATGACGCCGTTGTCAAGGAGTACGAGGAGACCCTCGCCCAGATCGACAACTTCGACGGCCCCGAACTCGAGAAGATCATCGCCAAGTACGACATCCGCAACCCCACCACCGATGGCAACCTCCTGCCCCCCGTGGCCTTCAATCTGATGTTCCAGACCTCGATCGGCCCCAGCAGCAACATGCCCGGCTACCTGCGCCCGGAGACCGCTCAGGGTCAGTTCCTCAACTTCCAGAAGCTGCTCGAGTTCAACCAGCAGTCTATGCCCTTCGCCTCTGCCTCCATCGGCAAGTCGTTCCGGAACGAGATCTCCCCGCGCGCCGGTCTGCTGCGGGTGCGTGAGTTCCTGATGGCTGAGATCGAGCACTTTGTCGACCCCCAGGGTGGCAAGAAGCACGCCCGCTTCGAGGAGGTCAAGGACGTCAAGATGACCCTGCTCAACCGCGACATCCAGCTGTCCGGCAGCACCAAGACCGAGGAGATGACTATCGGCAAGGCCGTCGAGACTGGCCTCGTCGACAACGAGACCCTGGGTTACTTCCTGGCTCGTATCCAGCTGTTCCTGCTCAAGCTGGGTGTGGACCCCAAGAAGCTGCGCTTCCGCCAGCACATGGCTAACGAGATGGCTCACTACGCCACTGACTGCTGGGATGCCGAGCTGCAGACCAGCTACGGCTGGATCGAGTGTGTGGGCTGCGCTGACCGTAGTGCCTACGATTTGACCGTGCACAAGAACAAGACCGGTGCCCCGCTCGTTGTCCGTGAGACTCGGGCGGAGCCCCTCAAGGTGGAGGAGTGGCAGATCGACCTGGACAAGAAGAAGTTCGGTCCCCGCTTCAAGAAGGACGGCAAGACCGTCACGGCGGCGATTGATGCTCTGTCGCAGGAGCTGCGCGAGAAGCTGTCGCTCGACCTCGAGCAGACCGGCAAGATCGAGGTGGAAGTTGAGGGTGTCGCTGGCGGCAAGGTTGAGCTGGACAAGGAGTTGATCAAGATCGAGAAGCGCACGCGCGTGGAGAATGTGCGCGAGTACACTCCTAATGTCATTGAGCCCTCGTTCGGTATTGGTCGTATCCTGTACAGCATGATCGAGCAGGTCTACTGGTCCCGTGAGGGTGATGAGGCCCGTGGTGTAAGTTTTCTTCCCTCTTCTGACCTTGGTTTTTTCTACTATGGTTGATTCGTGATGCTAATGGATGAATTGCTAGGTCCTGTCCTTCCCTCCCGCGATTGCCCCGACCAAGGTGCTGATCGTGCCGCTGTCGACGCACCAGTCGTTCGCGCCGCTGGTGCAGCGCCTGACGACTAAGCTGCGTCGCATGGGAGTGTCCAACCGTGTGGATGACTCTTCCGCCAGTATCGGTAAGCGCTATGCGCGCAACGACGAGCTGGGTACGCCGTTTGGTGTGACGGTCGACTTCCAGTCCGTCAAGGACAACACTTTCACCCTGCGTGACCGTGACTCGACCAAGCAGGTTCGTGCCAGCGAGGACGAGATTGCCCAGGCCATCAAGTCCCTGGTGGAGGGTGAGGAGACTTGGGAGGATGTGCGCAAGCGCCTGCCCGAGTTCACTGGCCAGGAGGTTGAGTAGATGGAGAGAGAATTTGTCTAATTTAAACCAAAAGAACGCTGTCTATTTAGATGGGCTGAAAAATGGCCCTAGACCATATTCAATTCATTGATTGCATGAATAGTAAGAAAATCGAGTAATAATAGAGTTGCTGGCAGTAAAAAGTAACGATGGGGATCGATTCGAGCCTCGGCCGATCGCCAAGAGATCGACATGCTCTCCGCTTCGTCATTCTGGCTTCTTCTTCGCTTCTTCTCTCCTTCTCTTCTCCTTCTGCAACTCTCCCCCTCCTACAATCTATCTCTTTCCCGTGCCATTCGGATAATAGTTACTTCTTTCGGGGATTGAACTCGATCCATCCCCCGGGATCCCACCCGTCCAACATGGCTCCCTCCATTCCCTCGGCCAAATTGACTCTCTCATGCCCGCTCTTCGCCGCCGACTTCGACCCGCGTCATCACGGCTTGCTTCTGGTCGGTGGAGGAGGTGGTGAAGGCCGCAGTGGTGTCGGCAACAAAATCGCAAGTTCCTCTTGATATGAAGTATACTTCTGCAGCTCCATGCTAACGCGTCAATCTCCCCAGGCCCTCTTGAATACCTCCAAGCGCTCCGAAATCTCCGAAGTTGTCGACATCAACTTGTCGCGCGATGAGGACTCAGTCACTTCTCTCGCCGCCGTCCAAGCCGACGACGAAGCCATCGTCGCCCTCGCCGGCATCAACAGCTCCGTGGCGGAGCAGAAGCGAGGCAATAACCAGCATCTGCGTTCCTTTCGCATTGATCATCCCACCCGGAAAGAGAAGGACAACAACAAGGAAAACGAGAAGACAACGAACAATGGACAAACCACCGCGCTTTCGCGAACATCACTATTTCGCACCGTGAAAGGCCCCTCCTCCGGCGCCGCCTCCCCCGACACCTACCAGCGCACCCTGCGCCTCTCCCCCTGGCAATCCGACTCGACCTCCCCGCGTGTCGCTGCCATCGCTACTGGTCTCGCCCCGGCCGGCGAGATCGTCTTCTTCAGCGCAACCCCCACCCCCAGTCCATCCGACGTGATCGGACGAATCCGTCTCAACAGCGACGAGGAAGCCGAGGACGTCGATCTCACCCCTCTTCCCGACAACAAGGGCCAATTGCGCGTCGCCTACACCAACGGCGTCGACATCTGCATCTGCACTATCTCCGCCGACACGCGCTCCAACGCCTCCCCCGACGTACAATGCGTCTACACCACCCCCATCCCCGACAAGGGATCCCCCCGGATGCGCCCCAAGTTCCGCGCCCTCCGCTTCCTCTCCTCCACCAGCCTTCTCCTCCTCCAAAACGCCCCAGACCGCAAAGGCTGTGAGCTCGTCCTCCTGGACCTCCGCCCCGCCATCATCACCTCCGCCATAGCCACCACCACCACCAAAGAATCAACTACCAAAGGCGCCAAAGCATCCATCCTCCGCCGCAAGAAGCTCCGCAAAACCATCAAGATCGGCCTCGGCCTCGACATCTGCCTCCTCAGCCCCGACCCCACCACAAACCAACAACAAGCCGTCATCGCCATCTCCGGCAGCGACCAATCCATCGAGCTCCTCACTCTCGAATTCAACCCCTCCACAAACCGCTACAACCATTTTCAAACCTACACCTCCCTCCGCGACGTCCACCCCTTCTCCATGACCAAGCTCTGCTTCTCCCGCTTCCACTCCCCATCTCTCCCCGTCTCCCCCGAAACCCCCCCACAATACATCAAACTCGCCTCCGTCAGCATGGGCAACACCGTCGTCGTTCACACCCTCCCCTTATCCCCCTGTCCCCCAACAAGCCGCTCCCCGCGCTACGTCCTCTCCATGCCCGGCGACTCCGAAATCTGGACAAACCTCACCTCCAGCTTCGCTGCCATCCTCTCCATTCTCACCGTCTGCTTCATCCTCCAGGCCTTCACCGAGATCCGTGGCGCCATGCCTCCTTACCTCGGCGCGAAGGACTGGTTACCACCTAGTATCCGCGATGCTGTCGCTATTCCTTATGAACCTTTTAGTCCTTCTCCTTCTCCTTCTCCTTCTCCATCTATCCCTACTACCAGTTCTACTCCCATCCCAGAAGTAGAATACCCCGCACAAATCCGTTCCCTGAACGATATCCTACTCTCCTCGGATGATCTCCAGCAGCAGCAGCAGGGGCGTCAATCCCTCCTGATAAACTGCAATCCGGAGACAAATACCCTTCGGATTGACTCCACTGATCCATCTTCATCTTCCTCTGAGGCCGATTCGGGTATCCATATCTGGGAAGATCTCTCCGAGGAGGTTCGACACCGGTGGATCAGTCAGCTCACGCAAGCGGGGTATGAGCCATCTGGTGAAGATGTTGATGTAGAGTCGATATTCAAGGGGGTGAGGTTTGGGGATTTGTGTACGGAAGTGCCCATCCATGAGGAGTTGTGATGCCGTTTTCTTCTGGTTTTGTTCTCTTTTTATTTTTCTTCTATATCATGGCTGGTATGTGTGTATGTATGTGTGGATGTGGGCCTGATGCAGGGTAATGGTAGGTGGCTATGATTGTGGTTGTGGTTGGTTATTTACGTTGCACATGTTGCCCTTCTTGGATGTGATGCTTCTGGTGCCGATGATTGTTTATGAATAACTCCTTTCTTTTCTTCGTTGTTCCTTTTCTGCCTTTCTGGTCTTCTACTATACCTATGATTGTACGCTATCATGCTCCGTGTTCCATTCAACTGTACTATTATCATTGACCCGTGGGCCGCTGGTAGTTATTATGATCACAGAAAGAAATATAGTATCCTCTTTTTTACCAAGTCCCCTGGTTCCCAAGTACCCTCCTCTAGCTCGCTTCTTTTTAGCTGCATCAGTCGACCATCAATATTTTGTCTTCCCTCCGATCTTTTCTTCTCTTCCTTTTTTATACCATTCAGACGTAGCTGCTAAAAAGCTGCTCACAATGCAAGTATTCCATCATGGACTCGTCAATTGAAACAAACATGACCGGGTACATGAGGGTAACAAAACAGGTTTTTGGTGCATGTTCATATACCAGAGCGTTTCAGCTCATCATCGATCTTCAGTACTCGGAGACACAGTTTTTGTGCATTGTACTTCGGATCTCTCTTCTTTTTGCATTTCTTTGTCTCATAGATGCAGCCAAAGATCAGCTGCACGCATACATCAAGTGCCGTCTCACAGGCATGGTTCGGAGCATCGAGGAACCGCACAGCGGGAAGGGTGGGATAACCAGATTAGTTGCGAGTGTAAGAGGAATCACAAAGGGGAATCGACTCCAAGAAAGAACGCCAAATTACCTATGCCGAGTCTGCAGACGACAGAGCTGTGCAATGAGGATATCACAAGTAGAAATCGAGTTGCAATGCAGGTCGTTAGGGGGCAGCAAAAATCAACCGGAGGCGCGTAAATGTGACCCATATGTGCGTGAAAACAAGATCTGGTGTAAATCATAAGAGGAACAAGGCAACCGGCAGCGACCATGTGGCTACCAACATCGCCATTGCACATTCTCCTCTCCACAGTCTATCACTGTCCGCTGTTCTTCTTCCAACGGAGCAGCTCCGCCAGGCTCGCGAGGCTGCAGCCCAACTTGAGGAAATCATGGGCCAACAATTCATCGGCGGTAGCGCGGCTGCGCACATCGACACAGAGACATACACTCAAGAACGACTTGAGCTCCTTGCTGAGCTTCTCTGGCTTCTTCAGGCGAGGAGTGCCGTTGGTGGCGATGAGGTACAACGCCTTGAGCGGCTCCTCATTGAGGTATGGGGGCTCGGATTCGATCATTTCGATGGCCATGATACCCAATGACCAGCAGTCCACCTTGGGGCCATACTCCTTCTGCTTAACCACCTCGGGCGCCATCCAGTACGGAGTACCGACCATTGTGGCGCGCTTACTCTTCGACTCGGTGAGCTTAGCACAGAATCCGAAATCGGCTAAGAAGTGGTCAGCATCAATTCCCCCAGGGTCATTGGAGAACTGGTAGGGTTACTCACTAATCTTGACATGACCAGCCCGGTCAAGAAGCACGTTATCGCTCTTGATATCACGGTGGATAATGTTCTGGCTGTGCAGATGGGCCAATCCCTTGCAGGTCTGCTCGTGGTCCTCATAGTTAGTATCAGTCTCCGATAATGGTCGATTTTTATGTACGCACCTCCGCACAAATTGTGGCAATTTGATCTTCCTGGATCACCGGGTTGTTGTCAATGACATCCGTGAGAGCACCACCTTCCATGAACTCCATGACAACCCACAACTCGTTGCTCTGCTCCTGCAGGAACGAGTCAAGGAAGTTGACAATGTTCGCATGCTGGCTGTCTTTCATGACAATGATCTCGTTGACAATGAGTTCCTTCCGAGGCTGGCTACGCAAATCCATCTGCTTAATAGCCACCTGGGTACGGGGACCGTACTGCCGGTAAAGCTCCCGCGCAACGCCGGATGTAGCATGCTCCTTAACGCGTGCCACATACACGGATCCGGAGGCACCCTGTCCAATTTTCCGCTGCTTGCTGTAAGACTCGTTCGGGTTGTCCTTGGAGACGACAGAACGCAGGCGATCCATGACCTCGTTCTCGCTCATGTTCGACATGCGCACTTCTCTCTGGCGGGGCTCTGCCTTCTTGCTCAGGGCAGCCTCGGCTTGGCGGACTCCATCGGGGACGTTTGTCTTCGCGGTCTGCTTGTTCGCGATGTTCAGGGGCTTCACAGGCTGAACCGGAGCAGGCAGCTTGCTGGGAGGAGGGCCCTGGGCCGGCTGCGCTTTGACGCCATTGTTCTGAGCCCGCGCAGGAGACTGTCCCTGAGCCGGGTGTCTGGAACCCGGAGAGGATTGCTCAGCCCTGGCAGAGCCATTGGCGTAGTCTCCAGGCCGCTGTCCGGCGGTAGGGGCGGATGGGGCAGGGCGCTGAGCTGTCAGCTGGCGCGGAGGCTCCTGGCGAGAGGAGCCAGGGGCCTGCGGGGCGGGGCGGCTGGGCTTGTAACGATCATCGGAGGACTGGCCGTAGCCCCCGAGCTCTTGCTTGGCCAAGGGGACGCGAGTCTTGGGCAAAGAGGCATTGTATGCTTCTTGGTCGAGCCGGTTCTGCTCCTCTTCCCGCTGACGTGCGCGACGATCCTCTTCCATACGGCGACGCTCCTTATCCGCCAACTCGTTCATCCGCTCCAATTGTTGCTGTTGCTCCAAAGCACGATCGGAATCCGACTTGGACTGCGAAGGAGACGAGACAGGGGACTGGCTGGAGTACGACTGGCCACCGCTGTCCAAACGCTGTGCGGGAGCAGGCGGCGGGGGTCTTGGGGGTGCAATTGAGTTGCCCACGGACCCGCCGCCGCTGAAGGGCTTCGCCTGCTGGTTCGCCGGCGAGGAAAGCCCAGCGTAGTACTGAGGGTTTTGCTCGCGCATCTTGATGTCCGAGTAGAATTCCAGGACCTCAATGACGGCCTGGGGGTTCTTCTTGTAATCCTCCTTGGTGATTGCGGACGCGGTCAGGAGCTTCTCCCACTCTGGCGGCAAGCCCACGAAGGCGCCGGTGCGCGGATCGAATCCGACGTGAACACGATGGCTGAAGTTCGTGGGGTTGCTTACCCCTCCCATACCAGGGCAGCGCTCGTAGATCTTGTCGATCCAGTCGTAGATTTCGTCATCGCTCTTAACTTCGCAAGTGATGCTCTTGGTGGGCACGTCACGGGTGATTACGGCGGTTTTGGAATTCGCGTCCTTGGGGTTGGCGAGACGAATGATCTCGAAAGCCATGCGAGTATCCTCCGATCTCGAGACGCCTGTGACCGCCGTCAGCGGAATGGAAAGGACGATCTTCCCCGTCTCATTCTTGAGAAAGTCGAGGCGGAATTCGCGCAAGATCAAGTATCGTTGATTCCACGTCGCCAGAAATTTGTCCTCCTTGCAACGGACATATCCCTCCTTGATAACGGTGACGCCTCCTCCGCCCGACTGATCGGTCTTGGTGCGCGTGAGCGACGGGGTGCTCGTGTTGGGGAACAGCGAAAGGTTGGCCGGACCGGGGGTACTCGGGGAATTCAGACTCATCTGGCTGAAGGAGGTAGCCACGTTGTTGGAGGGGTTGGTAGGCAGGTTGAGTTGTGGGCGGTCGGCTGGGGGCCGGGGGGCAGGCCCCGGATTCATGAATTGGTCTGGGGAGTACATCCTGCGGGCGCGTCAGCAGCGCCCGGAATTGATCACAGGCGAGAACCCTGTGATTGAATCGGGGCTGAAGGGCCAAAGGGGGTGGGTGGATAGGTAGGAAAGAGGGGGACAAGGAAATGAAGTCTGGCTCACTTTTCATAAGAGGCCATTAAGCTGGGCCAGAGTGGAAACCGAGACGCGGAACTCCCAAGGAGGGGAAGGGGGGTTCCTCAGGGGGGTGGAGGGGGGATATGAGGGGGGGCAACCGTGAAATCCACGGAGCAAACAATGTGAAGGGGAGGGCGGTCCCGACAACACACCCAGATTAATCTCCAGGTGCACTTCACTGCAGGCCAGTCAGCATGAGAACTGTGGCATGTGCAAGGCTGGGTCTGTCAATCTGGTGACCCGTGGATGCGGTAGAGCCTCTTCTTCCCCAAGGGGAACTATATTCCACCACCTACTCCATAGGCGGCGGGATGATAGAGATGGAACAAGGAAAGTGACCAGAGCTAATTGAACATCTGAACATACCTTGAGGGGTAACTGTAGATTTATCTTCACGCAGAAAAGAAGCCTCGCGCCCGCGAGGAAGCTCCGAGCGTGAACTGCACGTCTCGAAGGTGACAACCCCAATATCCAGACGCGGTGAGACCAGCGGTTACCAACCAGGGCGGCCAAGTACACAATGCAGGAGAGATGCAGGCGATGGCAGAGGGAGGAAGTACCCGAGGCGTGCTGGGGGTTCAGATGAAAAGGAGGTGGCGGGTGTGCAAACAATAAACGAGAGTCACGATACAACCACGGGGAGTAACGAGAAGACAGAGATGAGGAGGAGGAAAGAGGATGAAAGACGTAAAGAGGAGGGGGGGAAGAGGATAAGGAAGAGGGAGAGAGAGGGTGTGAAGAGGGAGGGAGTAAGTAGGAAGTTAGAAGGAGCACCAACAGGAGGCGGCAAAAAGGGAAGGCCGGCCGTTGAGTTGAACAAAAGGCACTCGAGGTTTCACCACCCGCGGCTCCCAAGGGGCGCACGGCTCTGACTCTCCTCAAGAATATTATTATTATCTCTCTGGAGGGATGGTGATGGGCTTCCTCTTCAACCCTGTGAAGTAGATCACTGAAAAAGCCCCGGAAGATAGAATGAAGTTGGGGGGGAAGGAGGGGAAAGGAGGAAAAGCAAAGAACAAGACAAGGAAGCAGAGGAATTGACTACTTTACAAGTAAACCCAGCAAAAAGATAAACTAATTGACAATCGCTATTTTGGTAGAAGTAAATACTGTCTTCGGCGCCCCCCTGGGATACACTACTTCAAATATTCCTGTTGGTTGACCACAAACAGAGTAGGAGAGGGTCACCAAAACAACGATCGATGGGTCCTTGACTTTGATCATAATGGATTGTCGTGGGCATGTCTTGGGAGGTTTCATATACAAAGCTAAATCCGAAGCAGCAAACAGCAAACAGCCAGGGCTCTTCTCTCCCCTGATTGTGATGATGCACAATTAACCTCTCCATCCTAGTAGAAAAGAAGCGCCCTTACGCATTTCACTGCGAGTGCAACTACGAGAAGCGATGAATCAAGTAGTAGTTCCTATCCAATGGAATGGATGGTCATCATAGGACTAATCAAGTCCAGCCCTAGAAAGAGTCCAATTAGGCGATGAATGGTTTGTTTCGATGTCCCCCCAACCCTCAGGCAATGAGGAGTATGCATCCTTACTGTCGCAATCCCTATATATTGATTGATTGATGGTCACTTCCTTGATTGTCCCTTTTAAATCACTAACTACTATGCTATGCATGCGTCAAATCGGAGATAGAAACTTGGCCAACGGGACCCAGATTAAGGGGAGCCAGAAAAAGCCTACGCCAGAGCCCACTCCACTTGGGTTGCAGTTGCTTGTCGGTTCGAATCAGATTGATTAATGGCCAGGACCGAATTACATCATCCGCGCGGATGGCCCCGACAAGCCATGCTATATCGTTAAATTCTCCTAGTCTTGAGGCTATTCGGGGCTCCTCAGCGTCTCCTTGCGGTCCCAAATCAAATTCAAATGGGTAAGCATGAAATCTTAATCCTAATCCTCACCCAACAAAGCCACACACGGGCAGCCGGCCTACTAGCTGGCCAAACAGACCACATACCCTGCATATAGAATCCTGGTCAAGTAACAGCCACCAGTGAGGATAGAGAGACCGAGGGACCCACGGGTCGGTGGTCTCGAGTCTCCAACAGCGAGAAAGAAAGACGGAGAGAGCGAGTGAGAGAGAGGGTCGCAAAAGAAAGGGAGGCCCACCAGCGGCCCTGATTTCCCGCCCCTTTTTTCAGGTCAAGCCCAACTGCACTGGAATTGATTGGATCAGACCAGCAGCTCGCTTCAGCAACAGTCCATGTCAATTGTGGTGCTGCTGCATGTGCAGATGGAACTAAGGCTTCTTTCATGCATCGCCCTCGTATACTAAAAAGGCATCGTGAGAATCTTAGTCTATTCATACAGATTTGGTCATTAACTATGCTACATGTATAACCCCTAACCCTCCTCTACCTCTTCCAAGCCACACATACACTTTGGTGTTTTGTATAAGTACAATGTGGTGTGTAGTCAATCATATTAATTACTTGAATCAGCGTTCCTCCCCAAATGGATGGTTGAATTTCAACAACCCATTCAAGCCTCCAACCCATCCATCGTGTGCTTCACCACCGGTGATTCTTCGCATGACACATGGCACACCACCTTGCCATTCATTCTTGCCATGTCGCATCTCTTCGTCCCATACTCGTGCCTCCATTCCCGCGGTCAATCCTTGCCCTAAATTCACCCCGTCAATGCTGACCTCCAACTCGCGACTCCGGTTCTTCTCGCTCAGTCGGAGGGTAATCGGAGTACTGGATGGCAGCACCAAGGGCCGGAAGCTTAGACTCCGCGCACAGATCGGCGTTAGTAGAACCGCGGGCACGAGTGGATGCACAATACTGCCTCCACTGCTCAGACTGTATGCTGTGCTACCCGTCGGTGTCGAGATAATGATTCCGTCGGCCACGGCTTCCGTCAAAAACCGGCCCCCAACATAGACATCCAGCACCGCCAAATGTGGCTCTTTGCCTCGATGCAAGAGTACCTCATTCATTACGTATACTCCCTGGTTGTTCAAGACGTTTGGCATGGCCGCTGATGTGGATTCCCGTTGGACTGGCTTGCCGTCTGCCGTAAAGAGCCCAACCTTCAGTCGATTGCGCATCAAGATTCGAGCGCCGCGCGTTAAGCCCATCGACTTCCCCCGTACCGAAGACCATCCAGTAGGATTCGCTTCCAGATCCAGTGCTTCGTCGGCTGAGGCTGGCCGGGAGTCTCCCAGCACCGTCGCGCGATCCCCAACGCCGGCTCCTGACATGTATACCTCGCGGAATGCGCGCTTGTATTCGGCAAATTTCCATTCGCTCAAGAAGCCCAATGTTCCCATGCTAAATGACAGCACCGGCGGGACGTTGTAGCACGTGGCAAACAAGGACGAGGCATGCAGGATCGTACCATCTCCCCCGAGAGTAACGGTGAGATCCACCTTGTCATGCAATGCCGGTCGTAGCTGGTCGAGAGGGGCGGTGTACACAGGCGACTGAAGGGACGAGTGTATTTCCTCTGCGACACTGGGTTCTAGAATGATCGAGGCCGATGGGTAGGTAGACGTCGCATGACTACATTGCCGGTGAGGGGTTAGCATCCATGACTCCTCAGTCAGCCGGTCTGGGGGACTCCGTACTTGGCAAATTCAATTAGAGAGGCAGTGATGGCCGGAGAATAGTCTTTCTTCACGACGAAGATATTTCGCGGGGGTGCTGGCCATTGGAGGGAAAGGAGATCGCCCTCTTGGGATTCTGCTCGGGGCGCACAAGCAGGTCAGCATACCAGGAAGAGCTTCAAGATATTTCGCAGACGACACTGCGTTGACGCACACCTTGGTATTTTGGTATCAGTCGTTTTGGTAGAGTTGCAACATCTTTAATCTCGTAACGTCGTGGGGAGGAGGAAAAGTTCCGTGACCAAAGCATCCGAACCGGAGGCCCGACATGAGCAAGCCGTGATCGCATACTCGCAAAATACATTTTTAGTAATTGATGAGATCAAAGGAGACCATGCACGCTCTTCTAGAAGACCGATATCAGCTCACTTTGAGACTTGTTTCTAAGTTATGACTAGAGCGCTCACATTATCAATCTAGGTCTGATTCATTGTTCCAAACCAGCATGTGAGAGAAAGTTGCGCGGGACCTGACATGCAGGTTTAGTTGAGAGGAGTATACATCTGCATCTATGTTTCTTGCAATTTCTGTATGATTCTTCTGGTCCATAAAAAACAGAAACATATATAGGAAGAAAAAGAAAATCATGCACAGAGGAGAAATTTCATCTATCTCCGAAGCGTCGAAAAGACTCCTGCAAGCGTGATGCCGATCGAGACCCCCCGGATCTCCGCTGACCGCCTTGAGGGGAGGGCCGGGCCAACTGACGTAGTGGTTTTTGACTGGAGATCATTGATCATGCGCCCACACACTATTGAGACACTTGAGAGCTGTGCTCCGGCTCAAGCTTCCTGCTCCCTCGAGACAGGAACCAAACTTCTCTCCCGTCTCTCTCTCTTTTTCTCTTTCAAGTATTCCTCCCCCCCCAAAACATGGCTTGAATCTACTTCATTTTTACATCCCCCTCATTATCATTACCTCCCCGGTATAGGTACGGCTTCCGTTAGTTAGTTAGTCCCTTTGTCCTCCGATCCCTCTCGACATTACAACAAACACTGCTGGCCTTCCGGCAGACACCGCTTTTCCTGGTACAGTGTGCTGCATCTAGTTGCTCGCGTGATCCAAGGGTGGGAAAGCTAATCAGTGCCCGATCCAGTTCCATTATCTCTAGAACTTTATCCTCCCTTATATAGTTGACCTGCAAGTCCCTTCGTAACGCCTCGTCGCCAACAACTGATTCTCATCATGGATACCTCCGAAGTTCGACAACGAAAGCATGACCCTCAACTGAGTCACACAGCCGCCTCGAAGAAGCAGCCTTCCGACAGTCAGGATGAGGAACCCCGTTTGAAGCATGGCATTGCGATGCAGCTTCTCCGCTCTTTGCTCCTGGCCACATGGTTCAACTGCTGCTGCATCGCCATCCTAGCGACCCAGGTCATCGGCTCCCCTCTATACGTGATAAACAAGGATTGGTATTATTCCTATATGGCATACACAAAGCAGTCCTTTGGCTTGGTCATCACGGCTCTAACTCAATGGGGCTGTCCTACCTTTGTGCGAGTCAGCGGTGACAAGAGTGTACGGGGCCAGGTCCACGTCGCAGAGGATGGGCGCTTAAAGACTCAATTCCCAGAGCGATTGGTCCTCATAGCCAACCACCAGGTGTATACTGATTGGATCTATCTGTGGTGGGTAGCATACACGAATACGATGCACGGCCGCATCTTCATCATCCTTAAGGAATCCTTGAAGTACATTCCTATTATCGGCCAGGGTATGACCTTTTACGGCTTTATTTTCATGGCTCGCAAATGGTTGTCCGACAAGCCCCGTCTGCAGCATCGATTGGAGAAGCTGAAGACTCAGCATACGGGATCGCAGTCAGGGTCCCCGCAATATGACCCCATGTGGCTTCTGATCTTTCCTGAAGGGACGAACCTATCTATCAACACCAGGCGGCGGAGTGCAGAGTATGCCGCAAAGCAGGGACTGTCCCCCTTGAAGCATGAGCTTATTCCCCGCTCCACTGGTTTATTCTTCTGTCTACAGCAGTTGCGCGGGACGGTGGAGTGGGTCTATGACTGCACGGTAGCCTACGAAGGACCTCCGTAAGTACTCGATGCGCTTGCTTGCAAGCGAATGAGCATTCCACTAACTACTTTCCTCAACAGAAGAGGTAGTCTACCTGACAAGTATTTTACCCTTCGGTCAACGTATCTGCAGGGGCGACCGCCCACTTCGGTCAATATGCATTGGAGACGTTTTGCCGTGTCCGAGATCCCTCTGGACGATCAGCATGAATTTGACTCGTGGCTTCGCGAGCGTTGGACCGAGAAGGACCAGTTGCTCGAGGAGTACTACGAGACAGGGAGGTTCCCGTCCGAGCTGGCTGGGTCTATCGAGGTTGGGCATGGATTCGAGGAACGGAAGGCTGCCGCGGCTGCAGGGTATGCTGAAGCACATGTGCGGTTGGGACACTGGGCCGAGGTTGGCCGGATATTCATGGTGCTTCTAGGCGCGGTGTTCCTCTGTAAATTGCCCAAGCTCCTGGGATTCTAATGTGGGAATGCCTTCTTGGCCGTGGATCGATGTTGCCGTTATGTGCTATGACCGACACTCTAACCAACCCGTTGCATGACATGAGCAGATGCGCTTAGAGTATTATTATGACTATTTTTCAGTTGCTGGCGTGATAGGTCTCACTTGGATAGATACCTCTCTCCTCCACTATATTGCTTTGGGCGTGGTCTCGGGGCAGTTTTTGATTTCCTCTTCTACGATATAGCTTTCTAGTGTAATCCATATATAGCACCGAGCAGGTGCATTACATGAAACACTAATTATTGACAAATTTTCAATACAGCGTATGATGGCCTCTGCATACCATCTATAGCTATAATGTTAATTCTTCAACATATTTTATAAACTTGAATACATCATTTAAATGACTTGGCACTGTGTAAACACAAACATACGGGGAGTGCCAGTGAGTGAATGACAAGCCACAGCCGGCAAGCGGGCGGTGGCGGTGTAAACTCGGCCCGGCCAGCCTCTCTCCCTCTGTCTCCCATGCCAAACCTCCGGAGCGCTTCAAAAGCAACGAACTCAATCTGCTGCAACCACAGGCTTTGTCCTCTGATCGCTACAGTTTCAGGAGCGCGCTTCTTGCTAGTCATCCGGCAAGAAGACACTTCTTTCAACCGCGTCTCTTTACCCCCCGCTCTAGTTTGGCTTCATCCGATCATGAGTTGAGCTGAACTACGAGCCAAGCTCCTTTCACCTCTCCGAAATAGTCGCAATCCTTCCCATTGCCTCATCTACAACACAACACATTGCTCAAAGCAGTGCCCGCACACGCCATGGCGTCCCTTCAGAATGGCCACGCCAATGGCACGAATGGCGATTCTCTTTCAGCGGCCAACCCGTTGCCCAATCTCCGTTTTTCTGACATTCCCTCCGCCATCGACATTCCCGCGTCCACCCTCGACAGTGAAGTCGAGGTCAGCCTAGAGATTCTTCCAGATGACCCAACCGAGCTCTGCACATTGTTGGAGAACGAAAAGGCCGCTAAGAACTTTTGGGTCACGATCGCGCTGGCATACGCCAAGCAGAAGCAACTCGATCATGCCATCGACATCTTAAACAAAGGTCTCGCGTCGGTCGCTCATGGAGCCACGAAAGAGAAACTCGGCCTGCTGGGATGGGTTTGCTGGCTGTTGATGTTGAAGAGTCGGAATGCCCCCCGCGTTGCACCCGAGGGAGAATTGTACACCGAGGCGAAGACGAAGGACCATTATCTCCAACTTGCGACGTCGACTCTGAACGAGGCTTCACGACTGAATCCGGCGTTCCCCCCTCTGTTCCTGGCGCGAGGTGTCCTGTCGCTGCTGCGCGCCTCGCTACATCCACCCCGTCCTGTTCGCCCGGGCACCGTTGACACATCCGAGAGGGTAGAATCGCTGCGGCAGGCGCTCAAGTGCTTCGATGAGTCGTCCAAGGCTTTTGGTGGTCGGAATGTTATGGCCATCCTTGGGCGCGCGAGAACGCAATACTTGCTCGGCCGATACGCCGAGGCCCTGGAAGGCTACCAGAAGGTTCTGATGAAGATGCCCAGTTTGACAGATCCCGACCCGCGGATTGGTATCGGCAGTTGCTTGTGGCAGTTGGGCTTCAAAGAGCAGGCCAAGGTTGCTTGGGAGCGAGCTCTGGCGTTGGTGGGTTTTACACAGATTCTACTCGTACTAGTTCCTTGTTTACTAATCGCTTGACTCTGTGTTGCCAAACAGAACCCTGACTCCAAGGTCGCCAATATTCTCCTCGCAGTATACTATCTTTACGACAGTTCACGACATGCAACGACAGACCCGGCCTTCGGTTCATTGTACAAGGTAGCAATGACTCAGTACACGCAGAAGGCGTTCAAATTGGACAAGGAATACCCCATGACTTGTTCTCTGTTTGGCGGGTACTTCCTCCTCCGGAAGGCTTACTCCACCGTCGAGACCCTGGCCCGGAAGGCCATCGAACACACCGATGTCATGCAGATTGCCAGCGACGGCTGGTATCTCCTCGGTCGGAAGTCCCACTATGAAGGCGACCTGACGCGTGCTGCGGAGTATTACAACCGCTCCGACCAGGCTCGTGGCGGTGGTGAGAAGGGATACCTCCCGGCCAAGTTCGGCACGGTACAGATGCAAGTGTCCAACAAGGACTTCGACGGAGCCAAATTCCGCCTCGAAAAGATTATCCAGCAGACGAAGAATGCCGAATGCATGGTCCTGCTCGGCGCGCTTCATGCGGAGGAGGTCTTCGCGGCGCAGAGAAGCGGCAGCAAGGAAGACAAGTCGGCTGAGATCAAGAAGGCCATCAACCTTCTGGAATCGGTTCGCGCCCTCTGGAAGGACGAGACCAAGAAGATCTCGCCCGACGAGTCCGTCTTGGTGTACCTGGCCCGGCTGTACGAGCAGAGCGCTCCCGAGAAGAGCATGCAGTGTCTCACCCAGCTGGAAGAGATGCAACTGGCAGAGGTCGCAGAGGAGGAGCGCCCCGAAGGCGTCGAAGATGAAGAGCAGGTCAAGGCAGCTCTCCGCGTCCACCTTCCCCCGCAACTCCTCAACAACATGGGATGCTTCCTGTATCAAGCTGAGAAGATCGAACGAGCCCGGACCATGTTCCAAGCAGCGCTGGATGCCTGCGTCCGGTCCAAGGAGAAGGAAAGCGAGCTCGACACCGACGCGCTCGTCACCACCATCAGCTTCAACCTGGGCCGGACCTACGAGGCAGCCGACATGCCGGAAGAAGCCAAGAAGGTGTACCAGGGTCTCCTCGAGCGTCACGCTGACTACACCGAAGCCAATGCACGCTTGACGTACATCGCCCTGCGCCAGAGCCCCACAGACGAGGGCCCGAAGAAGATGGCCAAGCTCTACGAAGCCGACTCGACCAACCTGGAAGTGCGCGCCCTGTTCGGCTGGTACCTCAGCAAGTCCAAGAAGCGGGCAGCCAACCTGGCCGAGGACCACGAACAGCGCCACTACAAACACACCCTGCAATACTACGACAAGCACGACCGGTACTCCCTGACGGGCATGGGCAACATCCACCTGTCTACAGCGCGCGATATGCGCCGCGACAGCGACCAGGATAAAGAAAAGCGGCGCAAGATGTATGAGCGAGCCGTCGAGTTCTTCGACAAGGCCCTCCAACTGGACCCTCGCAACGCATACGCCGCCCAAGGTATCGCCATCGCCCTTGTCGATGATAAAAAGGACCACGCCTCCGCCGTGCACATCTTCTCCAAGATCCGTGACACATTACGCGACGCCAGCGTCTACCTCAACCTCGGCCACGTCTACGCCGAGCTCCGCCAATACACCCGATCGATCGAGCACTACGAAGCCGCACTATCCAAAGACCGCGCCCGCGACGCACAAATCCTCGCCTGCCTCGGCCGCGTCTGGCTTGCCAAGGGCAAGCAAGAGATGAACCTGCAGGCTATGAAAACCGCCCTTGACTACGCGCAGCGCGCCCACTCCGTCGCTCCGGGCCAAGTCCACCTCGAATTCAACGTCGCCTTCGTCCAGAACCAAATCGCCTCCCTCACCTACGGCCTCCCGGAAACGCAAAAGACGGTCCAAGACGTCCAAGATGCCGCTGAAGGCCTCCAACAAGCCGTGGAGACCTTCAACCGCGTAGCTCAAGCCAAGAACCCACCGTACCCATCCAGCGCCTTGGAACAGCGCGCCAACATGGGTCGCACCATCTTGAAGCAACTCGAGCGCGCGCTCCAAAGTCAAAAGGAATACGAAGAGAAGAACGCCGCCAAGCTCCAACAAGCGCGCGAGGCGCGTGAAGCCGAAAAGCGCCAGCGCGAAGAAGAAGTGCGCAAGGCTCAGGAAGCAGAGCGCGAGCGCAAACAGCGCGTAGCGGAGGAGCGGCAGCGCATGATCGAGGATGCGCAGCGATTGGCGGAGCAGCGCGCGGAAGAAGAGCGTGCGCGTGAAGAAGCGGAACTTACCACTGAGTCGGAGACGGGTGCTAGGGTTAAGCGCAAGAAGAGGACGACGTCTACTAAGCGCAAGAAGAAGCGCAATGAGGACGACTTCATCAATGATGGAGGCGATTCTCCTTCCAGGGAGAGGAGCTCGGAACCGGACTCCGATGGCGAAGCGGCGGCGGCGCCGAAGAAGCGCCGGCGTCTGGAACGTCGGTCTGGTAGTAAGGCGCAGCAGAGCAAGTACAAGAGTAGTGAGATGGTGGTGGATTCGGATGACGAGGACGAGGCGGGTGGTGATGATGATCATGCGATGCGTGATACTGGGGCGAATGATGACGAGGATGAAGAAGAGCAGGATGTGGTGCAGCGTCGTCGGGCCAAGGTCAGTCGACGTGTGGCTGACGATGATGAGGATGAGGACGAAGATGAGGATAATGGGGCGGCGGTGGCTGGAGGAGGGGGCGAAGGGGCCACGACTGGGGGCGAAGGGGGCGAAGACGATGATGATGGCTTGTTCAATGACGATGGCGGTGATGATGATATGGATCTGAAGGAGGATGAGTGAATAAGTGAGTGAGTGATCTAGACCTTACTTACTTAACCTACCTACTACCTCTTTAGGAGCTTGTTTGTTGGGTGGGGGAGGAGAGCAGAGCGGAGCAGAGCAGAAGGAACATGTAGTTTTACGGATGGTTGTGCCTTGCTTGTTGTCTTTCTCTATATTGGTTTTTTTTCTTTTTTGTCCCCCCTTTCATTCCAACTTTCCATTCATGTATTCGGAAAGATGGCGTTGGCATTGGATGTTCGATACTTCAGATATTATTACTTACTACTGCTACTACTTACTTATATCGGTACTTACTATGGGG